CTTGCTCCCTGAATGGAATTATTGCAGCTTGTGCTTCTTATTATTCTGTACAGGTGGTGACCTTGGGGTCTGCAATCAGTGATCTCGAGAATGCGGGTGAAGTCAATGTGAAACTTTCCATGCATAACATGGACAAGCCCGAGGGAAGTTCTTCTTTCAGGTGTACCGTTCAGAAGGCAGTTTGCTTTGTGCTGGACCCTCCCAAGGAGACAAAGCGCAGGAAGGCTGGGGGAAGGATCAAACAAAAACAGGATAGCAGCTTACAAAATAAAAACATATAGAAGTTTACAAAGCAATGTAGTTTTTACATGTTTTTTCCGCAGGGGGAAAACAGTAAAGAATTGGGTTTCAGAAGGCGCTTCACTATCACTTCAGTCTTTGCCCCCTGCAGGGAAACGCTTCAGCTACAACGTTTGGCGCAAAGTTGGCCATCACCAAGCTGAGGACCAGTGAAAATCTGAAGCTTTGCTGGCGCATGAGGTGCCATCTGTGCCAAAAAGTACATTGGATGTGTTTCTATGTTACTGGGTTACTACGTTATTATGATTGACAAAATCCCGGCATCAACAGGCTAATGTATCAATGATTGTCAATGTCTACTGTGCTTTTCAAAATCAAGCTAATGGGCTGTTAAGCCAAGTGCTCCTGGGTCGCAGTCCTCACCACTAATTGTTTTTTTTGCCCTGGAGCTCAATTATCACCATTGGGTCACAACAACTATCACCATTGGGTTACAACTATCATCCCTTGGTGACAATAGCCACCACTGGATTGCAAAAACCACCACTGGGTTATAACTTCTGGGTTAGTTACAACAATCACCATTGGGTTACAACATGTTACAACTATCATCCCTTGATTATATTAAATTCTATTGGGTTACAACTATCACCTGTGGATTACAATAATCACCACTGGGTTGCAACTATCACCCCAGGTTACAACAATCACCATTGGGTTACGACTATCATCCCTTGGTTGTAATAATTTCCATTGGGTTACAACTATCACATGTGGATTACAATAATCACCATTGGGTTGCAACTACCACCCCCGGGTTACAACAATCACCATTGGGTTACAACTATCATCCCTTGGTTATAGTAATTTCCATTGGGTTACAACTATCACCTGTGGATTACAATAATCACCACTGGGTTGCAACTACCACCCCCGGGTTACAACAATCACCATTGGGCTACAACTATCACCCCTTGGCTACAAGAATTACAACTGGGTTACAACTATTCTTTATGTTGTGTAAAGTTTTGGAAATAGAAAAACATAGAAAAACCATCGAAGAATGTTACAGACGATAAGGTTATTATCGTCTGTATGTTAACTATCACCCCTGGGATACTATCAGACCACAGCATCCCATCTTTGCGCCAGGCTTCAGGCTGATCAGAATGGGGCAAAGGATCTCATCCCAGTTCGTCCTGTCGCAGTGCTCGTGAGCAACTTCGAGGGGCAGGCTGATGAAATGTATCAGCTTGTCTGATAAGTTTGAATGTTAGGTTTGTGATGTAAGCAACCCCTGGATGATCTTTTGATCTCAACATAGGTTCACCCAACAACTTAGATGTAAAGAAATTGTTTTCCAAGAACTCATAGCAACTGCTTGGGGAGATGGCTTACAGTATCCGTACGGTACTTTGGGTTGGCTGGGCTGATGGATGCCTAGCTAGTGGGCTTTTGACTTTGCACTGAGAACAGTGCATATGGCCAGGAAGGGTGATAACACCCGCGATCGATACAAACTCATTGGGCAGTGACAGGAATAAGAAGCGTGGAAACAATATTTATACCATTGGTAGTTCCCACAATGCACAGCATTTTACCACTGCAGTTATGGGATAAACACCCACAAAAGAGAATTGGCAATACCAGCCCCCATGAAAAAAGCAGGTGATCCTTCAAAAACAATGTGTTGGCAATAACATACTTAGCTTGCATATCACCATGTCATTTTCGAGATCTTTTTGGATTCAAGTGGCCAAACATGAATACACCACACAGGGCTGTATCAGGGCCCCATGGCAGCGCTGTGGTAACCCCATCGTTTGACATCTCGAATTACCAATCCTTGCTTACTTCACCATCGGTGGCTGCTACAGCAAAAGCCAGAGCTAAAGCTGATACATCTGCATCGGCAGCATCCAGCACGAGACCCAGCAACTAGGTCAAAGCTAGAAATTTTCTAAGTTCCTGCCCATGGTATTTGCTTTTTAATTGCAAACTTAAAACCTTTCCTGCATCCTTTCCTGATACCTAGTGATTCCCTGATCCCAGGTACAAGAAGGCTTTTGACGCGCTGTGACATTGCTAGCTCTTCAGAGGAGATGTCGGGCGGAGGAAATCATGAAAGTCCTGAGGCAGAAGTTTCAAAGAAAAAAGCAGAGAAGAAAAGCAAGGGGAAGAAGGATGACGAAGGGGGAAAAAAGAAATCCAAGAGCAGAAAGGTCGGTGAGGATGATGAAGAGCCTCCCGTTATGAAAAAGCCTGCCAAAAAGTTTAAGAAGGATGAAATCGACGGCTTGTCCGATGACATCCGTGGAGGAGACGATAGAGATGATGACATTGATGAAGAAGATGGGGATGATGTCGGAGCAGAAGGACCAAAAAAGAGGACAAAGAAAGGGAAGTCTGCAAACAAAGAGCCAAGGTCAAAGACTAGCAAGAAGGACCTTCATTCATTTTTAATCATTTTTTGCAGGGTTCAATCTGGCACTCATCTTTTTCAATGCCAGTTTGTTATTTACAAGTTGGCTTATCAGTCAGGAGAAGGCATCGGAAAAGAAGCATCATGGTGGAAAGCGCCGTGATGGAATGGAGGACGAAGAGCCTGCTACCTTGGCAGCTGAGCCAGGCTTCAACAAGACTATGGATCCTGGAGTTGATGAACACCGTGTGAAGGAATGCATGTCTTTCCTTGCAGAAGCTCACAAAGTAATTTGGCAGCATACTTTTCCTTTTTCTACTTTGGAACTTCCAAGGGTTTCCGTAGGCTGATTAAATGTCCCAAGAAAATACATCACATTTCAATGTTGGCTTCTCCAGTTTCGCAGGATGAGACCGAGATCAATCTTGTGACTCCGGACAAGGGCCCAACGTTGACAAGCATTGACATTGACAAGGCAGTGGAACCAAGCAATACGACTTGTGAACTGCATGACAAGGACTGGGAAAAGAAAGGTTTTTGGTTCAATCTCATAACTGGCAAGTACAAACTTAATTTTCTTCGTGGCTTCTCCCTGAAACACTCTTTAACCTCAGAAGAATCACAGTAGAAAGGAGGGCGAACTTCTGATGAAAGCCTTGGATGCCTATGTCATTGTTAACACAAGTGATTCCCAAGGGCGCCAAGAAGTGCAAGATGCCTTGCGTTTCCAGGAGAGATTGGCAAATGGCACTCTCTTCAGTACTCCATCTAAGAAGGGGCATGGTGAGGATCCTTGCACACCAAGCTCACTTGCTACAACATGGATCTTGGGAGAGCAGCCCGGAGTTTTGACTGAGGACTTTGCGGGTTGGGGTATTGGGGTTTGTGGTTTTGAAATCTCAAGTTTTTCAATTCTCGAGTTTTTGTGGGTTTGAATTTCCTTCCAGGACTTACCTGCCAACAATGGCACCGCTGTGGCTGTGGCCGCTGAAACCAACAAGCCAGATTTGGAGGAAAAACCTATGCCGAAGGACTGCTTTCCTGGTTTGCAGAAAATCACACCCAAAAAAAACTGAATTTTTCCCACCGTGCTCCAAACATTTCTTAAATTTGCACTTTGGGGTCTAGGGTGCTAGGGCACAAAACTTTCTGTCTAGGAGAAGCACATGGCAAAGTGCTCTGCCAAAGCTCGAGCGAAAAAAGCAGAACGAGAACTGAAGGCACCCACGGCAAAGTGCTCTGCCAAAGCTCGAGCGAAAAAAGCAGAACCAGAACTGAAGGCACCCAAAGCTCGAGCAAAGGCCAAATCCACAGCTAAGGCAGTGCCCTCCCAGGCAAAACCCAAAGCCAAAGGAAAGGCGAAAGCAAAAGGAAAAGCTAAGGCCAAGCCGGGAAAGAATGCAAAGGCAGCGAGCAAAGAGAGAAGCGAGGTTTCTAAACTGCAGCTATTATAGTTTTTGTTTTTTTTGAATATTTTTCATTTTTCTGACCTGGTGCCATGGCCCAGGCTACCCGCGAGAGAAACAGGATCTACAGCCGTGTGTACCGGCAGGTCTTGGCACAGGGATCCGACCGTGAACAGGCGCGATTTGAGGCAGGCCAAGAATTGGCCCGCAATGGATTTGTGGTTTACAACTTAGACTCTTAGACGTAGCAACAGCATGAGCAGCTACAGGCTGGGCAAAACCATCTCGATGTGAAGCATGTTAAAACAACCCCCAAGTACATTATCCTCAACCCTATCTTTTTATTAAATCATATTTTTTAAAATCTTGCTGTGCGAAAGGGTGGTGGCCCTAATCTCTCTTAATTATTTGCCAGAGGCGTGACCCTCTGACCCAGTGAGCAACCAAAGCATCGGGGAAAAGTCCTTGGAGCTCCAATGCTCCAATGCGCTGCTGCCAGCGCATGCCAGGATGTGCCAGCTGCCCACCATTTCAAACGAGGGAATGGATTGGAAGAGACCAATTGGTCGGTGGGTTAATGATCCCTTCAATTTTTTTTGATTGGTTGGTTGGTGGATTATTCCCTTTCAATCTTGGGTTTACATGACATGATTTGAAGGTTGATTTACATTACATATCATTACATGACATGATTTATTCCCATCCTTGAGCCTCAGGGACACCAAAACCTCAAAACCTTAAGTCCTGCTTTGATTTGGGTCAAGTCCTGCTTGATAAGACAGTTTCTTATATTTGTACATGTATACTATGTATATGTATATGTGTATGTATTTAATCAGCCATAATCAGCCGAATTTGGCATCGTATTAACAAAACCTCCGTTCAACACATGGTCCCACAGGTGGCATGACCCCTGACACCATGGTATACGCCTCTGTGGTGCATTCCGTCAACGCCTGGGGGTGTGTTGGGGTGCTGGTGATCGATCTGTCTGTCTGTCTGTCCGTCCATCCATCCATTGTCTGTTTTCAGAATCAGCAGTTAGGATCCAATCCATGAAAATCAGGATTTACCTGCACCCGCTGGGAATCAAAAATGGCAATGGGAAATCCCCATGTCTCAACCAGTAGATTACTGTTAGATCCTGTACAATCGCTGGATTTGGCCATTGCCAGGTTAGACGATCAAAGAGGAAGCTCATGGTGTCATGGTTGAATCATGCATCTTCAATCATCTTCATATATCATGATGCATTAAGATCACAAGAACTGTTTTGGGGTTAGGTGGAATCCACCTCGAATTGTCGGACACCTAGCTGTTCCAACGGGTTGCTCCAAGTCTGCCACCTCTCGTGAGAGCACCAGCGTCGCAGGCAACGTCTTATCCAATCGTGCTGCCGGTACGGCTGGTGCAGCCTATCAGTGGCACTTGATTTGGGGGCCTGAGAGAGATGCAGCCTGTGCTCCAAAAATATCTCTGGATAGAGACAAGTCAAAGTGCAAGAAATTAAGGAAAACTGGATGTTGGTTGTTCAATGTTGTTCAACTACCATCACGCTACAGTAATTTTTGGCCAGTCGTCGGCCAATCACTAATCAATGTTTTACAGTAATCTGTTTTGTAACCCACTTTGGGCCAATTGCCAAAATAATATAATGTAATATGATACCATATAGTATAACAAAACATAACATAGTATAATAGTATAATGATGATGATTAATAATTAATAGTAATATAATATAATAATATAATATAATATAATATAAAAAATAATAATAACAATAATAATAATTATTATTAAATATATAATAATAATTATTATTATTATTAAATATATAATAATAATAATATTAATAATAATAATACTAATACTAACAATAAAAAAATCCTAATCATCATCATCATCATCATCATCACTACCAAACTAATCACCAACCAATCCTCAATCTTCAAATATCATGATCATGCCCTCACTAGGAAAATCCACCCAGGGAGATTTTGGGACCGATGACCGAAGCCGCCGAAGCATCCGTCACGACAGGTATAGCCTAACTTGGTTGCCGGGTGGTTGATTGGTCGATTTCCAGGTTGGATGAAGGGAGAAGTTACGACAAGTTACCAGGAAAACGTATTGGTTGTACTGACCACCAAATGAAAGCAAGCTGCCTGAGTATTTCATGGCAAAAACCATCAAAAACCTGGTGATCCTGGTGTGGACTTTCCACATCAAGCAATGTATGATGCCTTGGTTCATTTTATGTTGACAATTGTTCACTTCAACATTGGCTACTTCATGGAAGCTTCATTCTCCTTCCCTGACCAATGATATCCCTCTATGTATAACACATGATTGGTGAATGATAGGTGATAGTTGGTGATGGTTCATGGCAAATATTTGCAGAGGATTCTGTCTTACCTTCACCTTGTTTCCAATGCTGGTCGGACTCGGAGACCCTTGAGACCCCTGCCTTCAGCGTTTCAATCGGACAAGCAGCCTGCATAGGACTGCTAGAATTTCAGAGAGACCCGTGTCTATTATGCATATTGCAACTTCCAGTTGGAGATTGGGACTAAGAATTAGGAATCTCTTGGAAGTCTCCGTTTTGCAGTGCGCTTTTGCCGTGATGTATTGAACTGAGTTTTCCCAGTCACAGGGCTGATAATTTTGTGGCCTGCAAGTCCATCAAAGTCACTGGCGCAACAGGTTCCTGCAACACTTAATCAGTGGCTGAAAGTGCTGAAATGCCGGATCAACTCCCAGAGACTTGCCCGCTCGAACATGCAGCTGATAAAGCAAAAGTTGCTACTATTAGGGATGCAGCACCATCAAATACAGAACAAATTTGTGTCTGGAACCTTCTACACTTATTTCATCTTATTTCCGGCATGCTGGTGGAGAATGGGAAGATATGGGAAGCACCTTGGGACCCCCTGATTTGTCACACACACTCAGACTGCCCCGATTGAAAAGCTGGCGCTAGCCAGACAACCCGGCAAGGCTCACACCTCGCTGATTTCAGCAACCAGGCGTTCCGGGGTCTTCGTCTGGGCACTGCCTGAAAGCATGTAGAAAGTACAGAGTCGGTGGGAATGGCATCAACAAGTGAGACATAAGTACGGTGCAACATAATTGGAAACATGACATCATAGTTGGACGAAAAATCATGGACACACATGGGCACACAATCTCTCCATTCGGTTCCAGAATTTCGATAGTCCCGACTTGAACAAGGCCTATGGCATACCACGGCATGCGCTTTTGTGAGGAGCTTGGGACCCAGGCTCTCTTGTGTGCTTGCAGACTCCGCTCGACCTTACGACACAGTTGAGTGGTGTTGAATGAATGTTGAATGCACAGTTTCTCATCTTGGGCACTTGGATCATCTTGGTTGCCGGCTGCGTCTCTTCGGCATCTCTGGAACTTTCTTATCCTGATAGCTCTCACAGTCACACTTGACAAATCACCCAGTCGCACTAGAGACTAATTCACCACATTCTCACACAAACATGCACAATCAGTTTCAAAAAGTTTTGGCAGCCACAGTAAAGGGTCTGCTAGTCAATTCCCAACCAAATTCCCGGACATTTTGTGCCCATGGTCAAATCATGTCACACACACACAAACGAGGCCTGCAGGAAAGGCCGATGCCCTTCCAGTGGTGGCTTTGACATCAAGGGGTTCTCCTTCTAGCGCACAAACGTGTTGGATGTGAACTGGGTCGAAAAGCAGTTGAAGTATGTTGAAGTAGCTCCGGCCAAATATTGATGCTGAATACAGTGAACTGAAAACATGGTATAGCAGTATAGCTACAGCTACACGATGCTACATGTTTAAAGATGTATGGAGCTTTGACCCGTGTATGATGTTGCTCTGAAAATTCGAAAAAAATGTACTCATAGGTTGAGAAAATGCAATTTTAGGAAACCAGGTCACAAACCAATGGAATTACATGGAATTACCAATGGATTAAGACTTTATGCAACTATTCATGTATATTTATGTGATGTTTGATTTTCTAATGTGTCTAAATTGGGATATTTTCAGGGTGCTCCATTTACCAACCCATTCATGGCCACGGCCACGGGTGGTCTCCTGTGACAGCTTTCTCTCGCCAGGCTTCAAAGGCGGCTGTGGCTCCGGCTGGGAAGATGTCTCCGTGACCGGCCACAGCTGCCTTCGGAAAGAGCACCGGAGGTCACCGAAAGTTGAAATTCAATCTAAACATAAATATAAATTATCATAAATTGTCATCATGACATTAAGATTATCAAGTATATGATCAAAGAATTGCGAAGAAAAAGAGAAAGCACCGAGGCCAACTACCGCAGAAAATCGTAGGGAATGGTTTCAACATGTTTTAAAATGTTTCAACAAATAGCATGTGTCACCTGAGCGACTTCTCAATCACAAATTTCGCTCATGGCAAGTCATACACTTGTTGGATCTATCAAGCCTGAAGCTCGTAAGCAGCTGCTGGCCCATAGCATCAGACCAATTTGACCGATTTTGGGAGGGTTTCCCACCCGCAAATGTTAAAATTAAGATTTGGACAGTCAATGCCCCAGAATGCTCTTCCGCATCATTCGATATCGATCCGTATCATCCTCCATCAATTATATTCATATATTATTATTACAATTATAATATAGTATATCATCATATATCACCCAAGGAAACAAGGGCCATAGGTCAACATATGAAGCCCAGTTACGGTGGGATCGCTGATGGATGGGAACGTCGAGGAACAGGTGCAGATCGCGAGGCAGACGCACATGGTATACCCTGGCACTATGTTTTGAACTGTCTGCGGCACTTTGCACAGGGGTGAAACGTTTCGTGATGCATTGCCGAATAAATAGGCGTACATAGAGATAGTGAGTTCTTGATCTGCCTGATCACCTTGAGCTACTAGCTACCAGTTCAGCATAATTCCTCTCAGCTACAGCATATTAGACACTTTTAGCCTATTCCAGAAAATCCTAGCAGAGATTTGCAGAGCCACCCATCAATTAACCTGTGGGGCAGGAAGTTGAACCGACGTCGAGGAATATTGTCGCACAGTGACCTGAGTACCGGGATGTACCGGGTATTCTTTGGATTCGTTTCATCACGTTGTGCAAATATAGCTGCCATGGTCATGGAAGGCATGGATGGCATAGTTTGCATTGGTGAACTACGGACAAATTACAGTAGCACTCAGTGGCAAATGTTAGCCGCATGGGCCAAAATATCCTCACATCCTAAGGCTCATGCGTACTGCGATGGTGGAGTGTAAGGCGAGCTCGTAGTCATTGAGCTCTGGAAGTGCGGGGAATACTGCACAGCGGAGACTGGAACAAACAAACCCTGTGGAAAATTCATGGAGCTCATGGAAGAGACTTCCCACATCAATCCACTACTAAGTTTGGCTTGATTATCCAGCTTCCAGCTTGTCTGCACAAGTGGATTTTCCATGTGACGACGCTCCAAACAATTGATTCAATTTTAACTATGATCCAATGGATTCCAATGGAAAAAGATTGATTCACCAATGATTCATGATTCATCATGATTCACCTTGGCACACCAAGTGCTGTCCTGCACTGGAGAGGCTGGAAGCTGTTCCCGGCTCGGACGAGCACTGAGGCCTTAGTTGAAAAGTTCTCCGCCATTTATTGAGTGCTGGTGCACGGACAATCTTTGGGGAACCCATGGTTTTTCCAGTTGTTCCATGTTCGCAGCATGTTTTCAGCATGTTGGGTAATTATTGTGGTCCAGGATCCAATGAGTGAGACACGTCCCAAAGCCTCCCCCCTGCAAGTGTTCCTGTCATCCGCGTCAGATACGAACCCACTGCACCAGGCTCCAGGCAATGTTCTGTAGAGCCGTGCCTCAACCAGCGTGATGAAAACAGAAGACAGATTTATCAATGAGAATCATACAAGTACCAAATATACCTCGCTGTGTCAGTCTAGGTCCAACCATCTTGTTGTTCCCTAATTTAGGCCCACCCCGCGAAGAATGAGGTGGTGGGCTTGCTGGATAAGAAGCCACCAGTTGTGGCACGCAGTGAGGCTAGCAGGGGCTACAGTAGCATCTTGCAATGCGAAACATCAGACATGAAGCCGCATCTGCGGTTGATTGATCACTATGAGGACAAAATTGATTTGCTCACCATTCTAGAATTTCAAATCTTGGAACAGTCTTGAGAATATTGACCATCACCCTTGCAATCAGCTCGGCTATGAAGATTATGAAGCTGACGTAGCTCAGTAGTGCTCAGTAAGAGCAATAGTATCATTTTCTCACACCACAAGGTTTGACATTATTTTTTAACATGGCGCGCTTAACTTCACCCCATTCAAACATCAAATTGTTCATTCATGCGAGCATGCCTGGGTCTGAAACGCCTCCCCATTATTATCCTTTTTCAAGACTTCCCGCAAATCGATTCGCACAGCACTTCTCAAGCCGAAAGCCTCATCTGCCTGGGCCAGACTGGGCAAAGCGGTGCAAAATCTGAGAAATAAATGTCCTCAACCCTAGACAATCCCCAAATGATTGTGGCACCGGACAACAATAAGTCAAAAAAGACAAACCGCGGTTTTCAGAACAAAAACATGGTTTGAAGATGGTTGAAGAAAACATTGGACCAATCATTTTTGGAGGACTATGTCTTGAAGATAGCTATGTGTGGGCTGGGCACTGCTGATCCAAGCTGCGCTGGCAGCGCGTCCTGGCGTCCAAACCTCGAAGGCCTCCGTTGCAAACAGCCAGGTCTGCCATGGTCTACCAGGAACTCAGGACTACCCAGAAGCCCCAGTTGGCTGCAGTTGGATGTCCTGAACCCTTGCTCTACTACTGCAGTATTGTCATTTTTTGTGTAGCCTGCAAGGAAGAAAGAGTTGCTGCACCAGTAAACTTAAGTTCATGTAGTAAATCCAACTGGGAGGACTGCGATCTTGGATGATCTTGGTGCAGGCGTGTGCAGAACCAAATGGGAGGGGCCTCATTGTGTCGCAAGTAGAAGGCAAGCCGGTCCGAGGAGTCGAACCGTAGCTTTTGCCATAGGGTGTACACGCGAGGGGTGCAAGCCACGTCCTGAGGGGGAACGGTTGGGTGCCTGGGCCGCATACTGCAACTGGAGACAGTCCTCAACTAGCACGTAGCCCCCACCACCTGGCAAGAGAATGAAAACGATCATCCTCATCCTCATCCTTCTTCTTGAAGTAGAATGACCGGTTTTCCCTCAACCCTTTGGCCCTGGCCTTTGTGGTCGCGGCTGGTCTGCCCTCTGCGCAGGAACTCCAGGATGGTCTCCTCCACTGCTGCGCGGAGGTCTTCAAAGGCTGCCACCGACTCCTGGAAGCTCAGCTGAAGCACGTTTCCCACTGTCACCAGGTCAGGCAATCGCCCCAGCAAAATGGAAAATGCAAAATTGCTAAAATGAACAATACAAAATGAAGTGACGGGCCAAAATGAAAAGACTAGGAAGACTTGGGACGACCATCCTGGAGACCTCAAGCCTCAACATTATTTTGTAGCACTGATGGAGGATTCTACACAAATCGTTCATAGCCTTCATGGACCCAAAGATATCTTCCCTACAAAAGTACATTGGTTTTTTTTACATCTTCTAGTGCGGGAAATCAGGGTTCTGAGGTACCTAAACCTTACAAAAACCAGGCTTCCACAGCATTTTGTACAGGCCTCAAGGCAAGCATCTTTGTAGTGGAAATTGGCACAGGGATATATACCAAATATTACCAAATACAATTGTTGGAATTGGTTGCTAATAATCCCTATCGCAAGCTGCCCTGAAAGTGTCATAGGCCCGAAGATAAAGCTGCAGTTGCTCCTCGTCTCTGTTCTCCACCAGCCGCACGGTCAGCTTCTCTCCATCATCCAAACGAAATGCGTGGGGCCGATGAGCCAAGAAGTACTTCAGTTTGTCTTGCCACTCCTCACGCCATCCAACACCCTTCAGCCATGGATCAGCCAGCCCGTGCAGGCCAAACAAACAATCAAGTATAACATTCAAATATATTCAAATATTGATGTGCACACATGCTGCCAAACAACAAAATAGAAGAACTGCTGAAAGTGTTTGATCCACTAGAAAGATGTAGGGGTCTCTCTGAGACAGGCAGAAAGGCCATCTGAAGGCGCCATGGGCCAAGCAGCTCGCTTCTTTCCAGGTACATTCTTTCCAGAAGGGCGGACACCAGTAGCGCAAACTGACTTCCAGAGTTCCCGCACCTTGGCTCAAGGTCTGCCACTCGGTTCATCTTGGTTCCACGGAGTTCCACCAATTTGCGCTACAGCAAGGGCCCACAAAATGAATCATGTTAAGTGACCGCCAGGCATCCGTTTTTTTGGGGGTACTAATAATATGGATATATATATATATATATATATGGATACATGATCTTTGGGCCAATCCCAAATTGTTGTCGTAACTATTCACACATTTTCTAGGCATATCTTGATGCCTTCCCTGCCGAGCCGCCCTTGGGTCGGTGCCCAACAGGGCCACCGTTTGCCCCGCACGGCGTCCTGACAGTGCGCGCCGCACCGCTTCCTCCAAGGCAGCTGGTGTTGCGCCATCCGGTGGAACTGTTCCTGGCAAAAATGCTTCCGTTGCCACAGGTTCTGTATAGTGAAATGAGTGTGAAATGACGGGTGCATTTATTGTTGAGACATTTGCATGTATTATATCTATATGCATGTGTGTCAATATAAATGTGTGTGTGTGCATGTAGAAGTGCATATATTTATACGTGAATCATTATATACAATGATATATAATTTACACATTGTTATATGTATATATAATAATGATTAATACTGTATATATATCTGTATTTGTATAAAACACATGTCCTTACAATTGTTTGGAGAAAAACATCCAGTTTGAGCCCATATGATGGACCGCTCAGAACTGGAGTTTCAAATCGCCTGCCCGCTGATGCTTTAACATATCTACGGAAAATCACAATGGTCAATAGCTTATAATAGCTCAACTTAATAAAACACACTCATCTATATATATATAAATAGATCACTTTCAAGAACTATGTTAAGTTGCTGATGGGTACCCGGACAGGCAGGAAACCCGGCAACCCGGTCTGGCCACCTTGGGGATCTGCAACGGGCAACAGCGATGATATCTCCTTTGACCATGATTTCTCTAAGCCAGTGTAGCTGACCTAAGGCACAGCAAACTCTCTTGCAGAAAGGTGAATAACGAATCATATATGAAATAAACTGAAATAAATCGTATAAAACAATAGTTAAGGCAGTTAAGGAGGATGTGTATGGCTCCCGTGGAGGTAGCCTGAATTGCTTCGGCCAGACACATGAAGAGATATCTTCGGCCACTGATGGCAGAACTGCTTCATAGCTCCCAAGCCTCGGAAACACGTTGGAAGAACACAGCTGACCCAGCCCTCACAAGACAACAGAATCCCTGAACCCACTGTCCCTTATATATCCCCTATGTCACTATGTCCTATGTGTCCCTTAGCTTAGCTGGCTACAGCCAATTTAGATTCCAGGACTCCATCAGATGTGCAACAATCTCATTACACTACATTTCATACAATCTCCCAGTTAAGTGATCAAATGAGATTCCAAGTCAGTCAAGCGGCTGGAAAGACATGGGGCCTTGTCGGTGCAAATCATGACGTCGCCAGAGACATCCCCATCTTTGTCTCTTTCCAAAAGGTCTTGCATCAGCCTCCAGCACCAAGATTCATCGCCGCAAGGGAGAAACAACTCAGGACGAGCACCATGACGAAATGAGCTCCATTTAAAACATTGCAACACATTGGGACACCATGGCAGCCATGGCAATCATGGCCACAATGTACTGGGAAACACTGCCACACCTTGCGAGGACCTTGAAATCTGCGTGCTTGCTTGTAGCATCACTTGCTGCCTGATGTGGCATCAGCCCCGCTTCCATCTGCATTTTTTTAATAAGCTGGAGCTAATGGCATATCAAAATTCAGATCAAGGAGCGCAATCCTGTTTGCATGATCTTGTATGGGCATATTTCGTGCAAACCGTTTTTTTTTTTTTAACGTGCTGCCTGAACCCCAAATGTCAGAACTGTGCCTTGCAAACTGCGAATCAAGGCATGCATATAAACTCATATAATAAGCAATGGAGCATCTTACTGGCATGACATGCAAATACGGGCATAAAATGCAAATAAGGGATGCTGTTGAATTTTCATGAATGTCGGCCCCCAAAACCTGTCCTGACTTTCTAGCCAAGGGACCAGCAGCATACCTCGTTTCAGCAGGACTTGCTCGCTGCTATCTTCGCCTGCAAAAGAACAAGGCGCTTCCCAAAACCAGTTTGAAGTTGTGACATGTGGCCACATCTGAAATGCAGCTTGCGCATGAACTTCTTGGAATGCCGTACTTCACATTAGTTAATTTGACTTGCAGGTAAGGCAGGCTTGTTGACTGTCATGTATGATAGACTGAACATGATGACGTAGAGACACACAGAGTAATATGTGGATTGGCCTATTAATTCAGACCGCCCACAATTATTCAAGTTGCAACAACTGCAAACACTCCTACAACAAGACCTGACTCATCCTGAGTTGGTAAAAAAAAAGTTGTCACCTCGCGGTGAAAATCAATCGGCAGCAGTGAAAAAGGCGGATTGTTCAAACCCATGCAATGTTAACTATCATGTGTCGTCAACTGGCTGAATCATCCCAAAGTAACCCCAACCCAAGAACCAGCTCCCAATCAAAGCAAATTAAATCAAAGTAATTTATAGATTTATAAATAATTATATTATATCATATTAATATTATATCATCACATCATTCAACCATAGTAACATATATTAAACATAATTACTTACCATAGTTAGTTGAATCATATTCCGAAAACCATCAGAATCCATCAACATGGTCATCCACAGCTGCCTTCCGACTCCTCCTCCGACTCCTCTCCCGACACCGCACCATGGCCACGTGGCTCCGCGCCACCGTTGTTGGCCACGGCAAAGTGCTGCAGAACGGCCTCAGGGGAATGGGAACCACTTGGAATGGTAGGATGGGAATGGGTATATTAGGTATATTAATTACATCTTAATTAAGTGGGTGGCTTGATGTTAATGACACTTTGGAACAATTTGAGATGTTTTACAAATATGGAACCAATCAAAAGTAATCAAATTTTGCCAGCCACTGTACAAGTATATACGGTGTTGCCCTTTCACGGTATTCATATGCATCATATAAGCATGGCAATCAGTGTAGAGAATGCAGAAATCCAATGGATGTGTCCAACGTGGATGTGTCCTGACTGGTAGGTTTAATCAATGCTTGGGGATTGTTCATGATTTTTCTTGTCGTGCATTTTTTTTTGCACACTCCCAGATTGCAACACGTCTCAAAGGACAGGAGCTGCAGTTCCAGTGGCCATCTGCTCGCCACCAGCATCAGGTAGATCATGTGGTAAAAACCTGCAGGGCTAACGTGTCTGAGGTCAGTTTTGAACTTGGCCGCATACTTGTTGCCTTCATTCCAGACTTGCTTCAAGGGATTCACAGGAACTTCCTGCATCATCTGGATCTGCTGAACACCACGAGGCACAATGCTTGCCGGATGTTTCCTGGTTTTCCTTGACATATACTATCATATACTATGCCAGTGGCTGCCAATGAGTCAACATCTTTCAACATCTTTCAACTGGTTGGTTGTTGGGACTTCTCGGCTTCACAACCCCAGCGGCCCAGCTGCAGAGCACCTCAGTCTCCCCTCCAATGCAGCAGCTTCCTCCCGGCGCTGCTGCCACACCTTTGCCTGGGACAGCGAGAGAACTTCGCCCTCGAGAAACACATCACCATGAAATATAGGAAAGCACCATAAAGATCCATAAAGCAGGATACTAATTATACAATTATTACTCATTGAGGACAAACTGATATTATATGATATTATTATTACAATTATTATTACTGGTAGGTTCTTATATAGCCAATTCTCATTGATATAGGCCACAACTGGTTGGATTTCTTTGTTCTGCTGACCTCTTGGGATGTTCCAACTCAATGCGGCATGATTCAAGTGCACTCAGCAAGTTGCTCAGCTTTAGTGAAGAATAAGCATTCAGGCATATACTTGGACATAAACGATATTAGACTTCCATTAAAAGCGTTGCTCCAAGTTGGTTTTTATGGTCTCAAATCGATTTCTCCATGGTTGGCCAGTTGGATGTCCATGGCATGGATGGCAGGATCCAAATCTTCCCAACTGGCCTGAAGATCCGATGGAGGATTGGCTTCCTAGGCAGTGTCAGAAGCAGGGCATCATGCAAATTTGGACACTAAAATACATTAAAATACGCTAAAATACGCTAAATGCTGAGTACAGCACTCCCTGCACCCATATCAAAGCTCGCTTCAACTTTGACAATCTCCACAAATTGTCCAAGCATAAAACTTGGCAGTTGGATTCATCTGGAAGGCTTGCAAAGGCACAATGCTGAAAAAAGTCAGAAAACGATTGAAATAGATATTGAAAGTCAGAAATTCAAGCACGTGTCACATTCTGCTCAAAGCCAAGTGGCAAAATTCAGACCAAGCTGTGCAGCAAAAGGAGTGAAACGGGGCCCAAGGCTGTCCAAGGCCGAAAGTCGCGCTCGGTATCGTGCGACTGCCTGAGATCCACGGCATGAGAAAGCACTGATTTTGCAGAGCCTTATGGCCGGACTGAGCTCCAACACAGTATATACCAGTAGTAGCAAACTGACAATGGCTTTGACATTCTTGACCCTGGCAATTGGAGTTCAGTCGGATCAGTTTCCATGTTCTTTCTGTCCGTATTATGCTGTATTGTATCCAATATGGCCGTGGAACACTTTCCTGAAGAAGCTCCCTGCTGGTCTTGATGTCCTGATAAGCTGCATGGGCAAATAACGGCAATCATGCATAATTACATATAATTACTTAGATTTAATTAGGATGGTTTTGGCACATACTGGTACTCAGGGATGGTCGTGGCCCTCCTCTCGCTCTTCAAGAACTGCAAACAGCAGCTCAGTCTCCAAGTTGAAATCCTGCGATCAGGGAGGTCCCTTTCCAACATTGGGACGTTTCAATGTTCTCTCCACACAAAGGATCCATGGCCTCCAAGAAACCGCTCAACCAGGCCGCAAATGGCTTGGCCAGCTTCTCCGTAGTCCGAGGTGCTGAACCTGTCAGACTCAACATGACTCAACGGCTTGAGAACAGGCAACCTCCCTAAACATTGGCAAATCAGTAGCAGGCAAGCTATGTCAAGCTATGTCAAGCAGCTATGTCAAGCCTGCTGAGCATGGCGTTGGCTCCACAGAATTCACAAGTCGCACCCATTGCCACCTTGGCACAAGTTTTCACTGCTCAGTATAGTCCCGAGACAATTTTTGTGGCTTTGGGTTCCCCCCATCGTTGGGCCCAACAAACAAGCGTTGAACATCACAAACGAAGGGCTTGAGTTGATTGGAAAATGAAACAAAACACTTTCTCAACCTCAAACCATCAGACTGCCAACCAAGGCGCAAGGAAAGTTCTGTACCCTCTTCTCCGTGTTCTTTCTGTCCACCCTGCGATGGATGGTTAGGAAGCTTTTTGTGCAGCACGGCCATCTCTCACACGTTGACTCGGCATCATCATCATCATCATCATCATCACTATCATCACGATCCGAAGTCAACTTGTTCTTCCAATACGTTGCAAACCTGTGACATGGTTTTTTATCTTGTATCTTGCGCTGACCGGATGTGAGGAACATCATTACACTTCAATCTTCTGTGATTTCAATCGATTCAATCAAACTCATCCATAGGCCTGTCTGGATAATTGCCATAAATTAAATTGCCTATTATCCTATTTTCATCATCGTTTTGTGGGTGCTTTGGATCCTTCGGTCCCCATTTTCTGTGGCCGTTCCCAATGGAACGCTCCGCGACCGCCCGACCGCCTTCCACCACTGCTTTGGCAAGTGAAGCTCTGCATCTTCGAAGCGCTTGCTGGCGGCGATCAGCCTCATGGGCACTGCTACGACCCAATTCTTTGGTCATTTTAGTTGACCTCAATGACAAGATATGACTGTTTATCATTGTTTATGGAAAGTTTGGTACAATTAGGTTCAGTTCTAATGGTAGAGGCACAAATGAGGTTTTAGTTCGAGCAACATTGGAAAACTCAGGTTGAATAATGTTATTTTTGCACCCGCTTGCCACAGGTGGGTTTACTGCGAGGTTTGCAACATCAAGCAGAATCAAGAATTGTATAGAATGGTTTATATCTTCAAGTTTATTCTGACCCTGGTTCTGCAGAGCCTTGAGGTTGGAAGACCATGAAATTGTGCTTTTCAGGCTGGTATCATTGAATTTTCAGGTGCTCACAGTATCCAACATAGATTGTCGCATTATATGAATTTATGCAAGAAAGTTTACGCATGTTTACGCCAAACCGATTCAAAGTCAAAGGGCCAAGGCAGTAGCAAAGAGTAGCAATGGAACGGTAAACAGGCAGCGCAGGCAGGAGACGGCAGGAGGATGGTTCCAATGTCTTCCAATGTCTTCCAATATGCTTCACATGATCAAAGGCCCCCAGAGATCCCCAGAGCCTGTGTATCGCATCCTGGCTTCACAAACTCCAAGCAACACATCTTCTGTCCCTTCAAGAAGCTGAAGGCGTGAAAGAGTTGAGGTCAACCTCACCCACACTTCACCCACACTTCCCATCACTTGGCGGGACCTGGCAATCTGGCCCTGGTGATTATGGGTCACGGTCGCTGGCAAAGACTTGTGGATGGGATGATTTCCCATGATTTCCCAATAGAAAAGACCAAGGCAAAGACTGTCTATGTCACCATGGTCCCCTGATTTCTCGGGCCTTTCAATTTGAATCAATTTGACTCATATAGGTGGATGCTCAAAGTGCATTCCAGTTGCAGCGGCAAAGGAAAGTCGTTCAAACGCCCTTGCACCTGGTTGAACATGAACAGGAAAGGTTGCTTCGAACTGATATGGCATCACCCCAGCTAAATCTGTCTACTTCCCGCGTACTTCTCAAACCCGAAGGTCGACGATTATTTTTCGCCTACTTTCATGCAATTTCATGCGTTTTGTCCCTCGGGAGAGCAGCGTTCCGTTGGACCTGCATTGCATGGTCTGGAAACGGCTTCTCTGCGATCCGGCGACTCACCGGTCAGTCAGGCGCATCGGCACATCTACGTTTTACATCGTCTTACGTGATGATACATATCATATACGTATATGTCTCATATGATACTGTACCCTGAACAACAAAACATCAGGATGAGAGTTCGTTGATGTACATTCCAATAATCCATAATAATCCCATGACATTTCGATATGTGTTTCAAACATGTTCAAACTAATAACCACCACGTCCGAAGCATCTTCAAACGGCTGACATTAACCACAGACCAAAGCCAAAGGTCAGACTGCTCTCGGCATGACCCTGACAATGATCGAACTGTAAAGAACAATCGGATGGCGGGATTCACTGGGTTCAAACTAAGTTTCCATCCTGGGCTCAGATTGGCTTTCCTTCCGGTGTCTGGGAATTCCGGCCCATTGTCCAATCTCCCACAATGGCACCACGTGGTGCTTGGTAGGCGCCAACCACGGACCAAAGTCAGAGTTTTTGGTGAAGCGTGCTCTGTTGGAGTTGAGGCCCTGGACATCTGCGCGTTCAATTTGGAGAGGGCCGCTCTGTATGTCGGACATGAAGGGGAAGTATTTAAATAACCTTAAATATCCCTAAATACTTCGACTTCGAGGACAACAAATTATGTCATCGTCGAAGTACTTGAGTACTTCCCCTCCATGTCCTTCTGAAATCGTTGAGCGTCGTGTGGACTGATGAAGTTCACGAAGCCCAAGCCCTTGTTGGTGCCACTCTGAGAGTTCCACGGCATGTACAATGTAGAGAAGATCGAAGCGACCCTCAAATCCATGCTTCTTGACTGAGTCTATAAACATGTCTTGGCCGTAGTGAAGCGGAATGTTCTTCACGGCAACCGTCACCATGGGCTTAACTTACCCTCGCGCTCGGTTTCCTGTCGTGTCTGATGGCCCTGTCACATCTGTCACTTGGACTTCTGGGCGCAGCGTTTGCTGCATCTGCCAGTGCAGCATCTGAACGATTTGCACAACTTGTGCGGGTGACTGCCACTCTGAGCTGAAGAAGACAAGCTTCAAATTCGATGGAGCTTCCCATGGAGGCATCGTTGTGACCAGGATGGCGGTGAAGAGGGTGACATCGATGCACACGGCCCGCTCGTCCCAAACCATGCGTAGTCGCCGTAGTCGTACTGAGACATGGCAAGATATGGCAAGTATTGGTCTGGTCTTGCCTACTTTCTTACAACTACATCTATGTCTCATACCGCTGAGCCAAACGCTCTTGAGCCAAACATAGCCAAACGATGTCAAGGTATCAAAGATTGAGATAGATTGAGAACATGCACATCATCCATGCATATCAGCTATCAGTTGTAGGATGGTGTAAGATTATAATCTTTATTCTTGGGTCATATTCCAAAATCTCTGACAAATGTAGAACTTGCACAAACGAACGCTACAGTATCTGGCTATCTATCGCAGAGCTGATCATTGACTGAACCAAGGCGCGACTTGCAGGAACCTCAGGTGCTCCGGGGCTAACTTCCTGCCAGCAGGATTGGAGGTGAGATGATTGGGGACCAAGGTGATGACGGACATCAATATCATCAATACAAATAAATTGAACAGATTGCAAAGAGAGTTGTTGTTTCAGGCTACTGCATTTCGGTGCGGACTCTTCCTCTTTACCGTTCCCCGGTCTCATTTTGATCACTGATCTCGTTTTCTAACGCCACGCTTGGATTTTGGTATTATATCTTATCTGCTTTAAGTCGTACTCTTGACTGGCCCCGCTTTTTCAGGCGCACCTACCTCGTTTTGCGTCCAAAAACTGGTGTCAAAGCGAGCAGGATTTCCACCCCAAGACTCATCTTTCCTACTGCACATGTACCAAAAAAAAAGCCTTTGCTCATATTGCACGTACAATTCAATATTCACACATTATTCGTACATGATTCATACATATTCATGCATATACACCACTGAAATCGACTGAATAGATCCTGTCTCTATCTGTCTCTCCCCATCTCTGTGATTCACACAGTGCCCCGGCCTTGGTCTCAACAAAGCCAATGCATCCAGCAACATCTGCAACTGCGCTGGCTGCAACTCTTGGTAGCGCGAATCCTCGTGGTTGGATGATGGATGGGGCTGCTTCAACCACGAAACATTCACCTGTAAAATCTGGGGCTTATCATCCCACAGTGGCACGGATCTCGAACATCGCACCGCCAGCCCTGCACCTCTTGTAGAAATTGCAAGGAGCTCGTCATCATGCGTTGATGCAGTGAGCGACATGAAGCCAAAGATCGAACCATGGCAACGACCTTACCATGCGAAGGTGTGTGTCCACTCTGGCGCACCCACAGCAAAACACACATGTCACATGACATTGACATCACATAACCATCATGAGTCTGTCCAAAGGCAGGGTAATACTCAAATCACTGGCTTCCTACAGTATATAAATCTTTAAATGCACCATTTGGATCCATTTGGATTCATGTGGAGTGCATTTTGATGGATTTGGCGGATCCTGTCATCCGTTCTGCTGAGACAACGAACCTTAACATGTCCACTGCCATCCCCTGCCTCCCCTGGTGGTAACTCCGCGTGGCCAGCGCGTTTGCTTTGCCGAACGGATGCGGCTTGCATCCATTGGCGGGCCTCCGATGAGCTCATCATGAGTTTTGGCAAAATTCAAAAGCTGAAAAAGGACAAACTCTGTCATCAATCATCAACATACATCTACAGACCTAGACCCCTCAATTTAATTCCCCTATAAAAACATGTGCTAGTACTTGTTTATACTTGTTTTACATTGTTTTACCCTCACAGTTTGGTACAGAGTATGTTGATCCACCTCCCAGCGACCTGTGGAGAAGCTCCAATGGGGAGCCGCGCCAAAGCTTTCACTGCCGCTGCAAAGGATGTGGCATTCTCTCCCTGCAATCGCAGCTTCGGATCGCAGAGGAGGTTCACTAGCCTGGACGGCAGAGAACAACATAGGGATAGTATAGTGTAGTATTGGTATTGGCGGTACTGGTACTATAGTTAAGTGATGTTAAGTGACTATCAAATAGCAACCTGAGCATCGCCAACAACTATATACCTGGAATCAGTTCCTATATAGTTCCAAGATGTTCCAAGCTGCATGTGGCATGTGACCCCAACTGCAGCCACTCCGCCCACATTGCACCTCTTGAGCATTGCATAGGGCTTTTGCATTCCTGCCCACGTTTTTTCGCAGGCCTCTGAGCATATGCAATTTTCTGTAGCTGGCCTATGACATCCTATGACTGCCAACATTCTGAGTGCCATGCAAACAACAATGTCAAATCACATCAACAAATCATCAACATACATCAACTATACATAGTGGATATGGATGGATATGGCATCACATGATCCAAACCCAAACATTGAATTGCTCCAGGTGCAATTTGATTTGTTTGCACTGGAGGCCAGAGAATCAAGGCGATAATCAACCATGCCTCTGCGTAAGCCCATAACAAGTTGGCATGTTCTTGTGCTTTAATGGCACCTGCAAAATCCACTCCAGAGACATCTGCAATCAGAGGAGCCCCAATTCACTTCAAAGCTTGGGCGACAGCACACATCTCTTGGGACTGTCCAGTGCTTCCAATTGCTTCCATAAGCTCCATACAGCTGCCAACCCGCGGCCCCATTATCAGCAGCCCAGCACAAAGCCGGAAACGTGACCCAAAAAGATTTCACCGCACGTACCAGCTTTGAATCAAAACACAAGTCCTGTCAGTGACTGCACTGTACTGTGAAAAATGATGTAGTATAATCAGTGTTCACATCTTCGCCTTTTCTTGTAACTGCGCTAGTGAAAAGGTTTCAATCTGAGGTTGCCACCAGCTCTCACATTCAAACACTCTGTGCGCCTTCATCCGTGAAAGTATCCAGCTGCCTACTGGCACTTCTCAATAGCTGTCGGGTCACGCGTTCTTTGACCATAACCCTCAGCAGTCAAATGGTGGCCAGGGTCAAAGGTTATGCTGCATGGAACTGTTGAGACCGTCGATAACTGGGACTGTGGATGTGTTTGATGTCGCTGCTGACACGCCACCTTGCAAAGGACCAGCAAAGTATGGAGATGTGAGACAGGAAAAGTCCGTCAAAGCGAACTCTCCACGGGCTATCGGACCGCTTGTTGACCCGTGCTTTCCGCAAAAAATCCTGAGCGTTTGGCCGCGACAAATGAGCCTTTTTTGCAGTGTGCATGCATCTTGTGACATTGTCCGTGCCACCCCTTGATGTGAAAAGATAAAAGCCTATAGAATTCCTGTAGAACCATAGACAATGCTCAGCTCCCTCACGCCTGAATAAAATGTCAAACATATCTAGGAAGTCTAGGAACCATCGAATCATCAACAACAATCGTCAACCATCATCAACACCAACACCGTGAATACACTCAAGTCATCTTAAGTTCATGTTCATCAATAGACACTTGCACACATATATCAGCCATATTCTCGATATGGATATACATAATATAGTTATATATATACATATCATATAATATATAAATGCATATATATATATATGTGATAGATATGGAGACACTCCATTTACCATTCCCAGGCCAGGGCACTACCAAGCTCCGCAGGAACTCCAAGGTGCGGCCCGTGGCCTGCTTGGTGCCATGGAGCTTTGCCAAGGCCCAAGTGCCCGACGCCAAGTGTTGGATCTCAGCGTCCTGGGGCACCCTGGGGTGGGATCCAGGAATTCAATGCTGTTTTTGTTATGATTTTTGTGGTTTATGCTAATAAATAGCAATAATAATAATGAATATTAATAAATCTTAGTGTTGTATATTATACATAGCTTGAAATCATGAAATCATCTTGATGGATGTTTGAGAGACAAATGATGGGTGCTGCGATGGATTTATTTGAACCATGGATATTTGCAGGTTTCGAGGCGATCACTTTCTGTAAGAATTTTCAGCCCCACTTTCCACCTGCCAGGTGAGGGAACCGAAGGGTCAATGGGGATAAAACCGTGGGCACTCAACTTGCACACATGCCCACAGAGCATTCCAAAGCCCACATCTTTCACATACTTTGACTTCATCTCTCTCTCTCTCTCTCTATCTCTCCCTCTATGTTCCCATTTTCGTCATCAAGATGTTGCAACTTGTCATATGATGCCAAACTGTGGCTGCCAGGCAAGTCCTCAAGCAGCTCACTCATGCGAGTGCTCAAGCTCTCAACCAGCTTGCCTGGCAGGGAGGGTTAGAGAGGTGTCACGGTGCCTTTGGAAGCTCAAGCTCAGGTGAGAAACCACTATAGCATCCAATAACATCCAATCATTTCAACCTTGTTCGAAGGCGAATCTTATCCACAATATTCATACAATATATCTACGATACGGAAACACTCCAACAGAACAATCGCAATCCTAGGAATGCCAACACGGTCAAGAGTTGCGGTCCGTAATACCGCCCATACTCCACATGTAAAAACCTGGATTGAAATTGGCTTTTAGGATCCGTGGGCACCCGCTTGAAACCTCCATCTGCTCGGCCTTCCGCGTCCAATGGAACACCGAGCTTTGCGAGTGACCAAAGGATATTAGCAACCTGGAATGTAGCTAAGGCAAGCTTCCAACGTGTAGCTTGGTGAGATCCGAATCGATTGTCATGCACCAGCTCTTGAACCTCTTTCTGTGGTCACATGGTAACCGCTCTCCTGTACTTCATAGGCAGGTGGGATGGTAGATCTTTGGTGAAGCATTCCCAATTCTGAATTCTGGATGGGCCCAAGCACTGCTGTTCATGGCATTTATATATAACTATGCATATATATGCTACAATGGGCTACTATAATGGCTTACCATTTGTTTAAAGAAATGATATACAATGCCAATTCCTACTGAGTGTATTCTGGGCGTCCAAGTGTCGTGTTGTGGCTGCGCGGAAGGCAAGCAAGAAAGTATTGCTGCGTCGAACTGCATTGCAACATCATGAGCCTGGAAAGTTTGCACCGCTGGTGAGGAAGAATGATATGCTTGCAGGAGAAAACCTCAGGCCTACCAACCTTCATCCACCTTTGGGATGTTATACATTTAATTGATATACATTATTGATATTATTGATATTTATTTGTACCAATACATTTATGGTAGGTACCTATAATGATGTGGAGAAAATCAGACGAAAAAGCCGTCTCCAGGAGATCAGCATTCATGCTGCAGGTGAGCCTTTAGCAACAGCCTGCAACTATGCAGGAAATGGTTATGTTATGTTACAAACATGTTACAGTATGATGGCAATTGTATGAGATTGTTACAGATTGTTACAATATAACAATTATATTAATTATATTTATTGCAGTGATGATTTGTATTGATTTGTTTCATCAGCATGGTTCTTTTGCAATTGGCATTGGCAGGATGGCCTGATCTCCGAAGCCACCTTCAAAAGCTTTGGCCAAACCTGAGGCGGAACCGCCGTTGGAAATGGTATCAATAGTCCACTGCCACTTTGCAGCTCGAGCCGCACAGCTCTGCGATTTGACAGAATGGTCTACCCTTCATACGCCGGCGACGCCATACAAACAAGCAGCAAGAAAAGTGGTCTAACTGTAGTGCATGTCGGTTTTCTCCCCCAAATTGGAGAACAGTGGAAAAGCCTGGTGTCACAGAAATATGTCCCAGAATTTTCTAGACACTTGTCATCACTTGTCCATAGTCCAAGGAGTCCAAGGCACTCCAAAGCAAGTTGGCAACAGCTTGCGGTGAACAGGCTTCCGAGTATTGTCTGGCGTAGGAGCCCACCACTTCTGAGATCCATCCAGAAGGGTTGAAACCCAAGGAGGCGGATGCCCAAGCAATGTTACCTGCCAGCGGAATCCCGGCCCATGACAACATTCTTCCCTATGGTGAACTCAGGGTAGTGGGTCTGTTCAAAATGAATCAAAATGAGCCAAGCTACTCAGATCCTGCTCCGAACACTGGAGTAGCAAGGGTCTGGCCATTTCCTTTGCGCCTGCAGAGCAAAGGAAGGTGCCAAACTGCGTGCATAAAATACAGCGCCAGAGTTGATCCCATATAGGTGGATCATGGATCAGTAAAGTCTACGAACTTGACATACCGACATAGTGAACTGATTATATAATTATATAATTATATATATAATTAATAATTATACTAGGGGTGTAGATATAGATATATATATATTAATAAATAAATATATAATATTGATGTGAATTGAATGCTGCATCAGCTGCCCCAGGTGCCCCAACTGCACCTGTCAAAAACTCCTCTTGCCGCCACCTCAAAGTGGCTGCCGCCCAAAAACAGCGAGCTGCATCGCTGCTTGCAGCGCCTGCACCGTGGAGCCGGTGAAGGCGTAGGAGCCAAGAACTGAGCAGTTAAAATGTTAAAAATAGAGACGCAAATCTGAATGTGTCACATGTGCAAATGTTGATCAATTTTGATGATGTAATGCTAAGTGAAGCAACCAAACAAAGTTTGTATGTCAAGTCCGAAGCTGCATCCATGCCGCATTTTTTTGTATCTCAGATTTAACTCAGCGTGGTTGCGAGCCACTCATCCAAGAGCTGCGACTTTGGCATTGCCCAGGTAAAAGCGCTTGCTTGCAAATGTCCTTAGTGGATTCTCTCCGGTTTCCCGAAATTCATATGGGATTCGCAAAAAACACGCACCCGCCATGTAAAATGACGATGGAGGTCTCCAAAGTGATACGCACGCCTGCCACGAAAAATGCAACTCATCTTCTGAAAACGCTGCAAAAAAGTATTGTGCAAAAGGACTTTTTTGAGAGACGATGAGAGACGTGAAAATGTCAGCAAGTGCCACGCCTGCCACGTAAAACGAGATGACAACTTGTTTTGAAACCTTCGAAAATGATAAGTTTTGCAGCTTCCCCCATAGACACAGCGACGGCAGAAGAAAACCAGAGAATCGAGACAAGACATGTTGGAGCTTGAAATCGAGCATTTCGTGCAAGACTTCCTGATTTTTTCACACTTTGTAGCTTCAAAATCGGCGTTGTCCTACAAGTTTTCTCATGAACCTCAAAATTTGCTACCTCAAAATCGATGTTTCGTGCGAGGCTTCCATCAATTTGCATCACGTCTCACAAAATGCCACGCCTGCCATGGAATTCCTTGTATCCATTTCGCGCAGCCCTGACAATGCGATTCGCCAAGAACACGCCACACGACACGTCAGAAGTGTTGCGCCTGCCACGCAGAATGACGATGGAGGTCTCCAAAGTGCTGCGCCATGAAAAATGCAACTCATCTTCTGAAAACGACGCAAAAGTATTGCGCAAGCCACACAAAACGACTTTCGACACGTTATGAAAAATGTTGGAATGTCACAAAGTACCACGCCTGCCACGTGAAACAAGGCTACGCGACGTTTGAAACCTCCAAAAGTGACCACTTTTGCAGAACTCGCCATAGGCACGGCCATATTGTCAACGGTTGCCGACGGTTGCGGTCGCAGAAGCGGCGTCGAGCGAACACGTCTCCACCCCCAGGCCCCCAAAGTAAAACGAGAACCCTTCGCTACGCATTCGGGAAAAATTACACCAACCCTAAGAGAATCCGAAAACGGACCCCAACCCTAAGAAAACAAAAACGGCCCTGAATATCCCTGAATAAACCCTAAAGGCCCTAAACCAACCCCCAATGAAACTTTGAGCAAGCATCTCGGGCCAGTCTTGGAAGATTTTTAGATATTTTTAAAATGACTACCAGAATGACACTAGTTCTAGCACATTACCGATATTTGCAGAGCATCCTCACTGGCCCATCGCCAAGCGTCTGTGGTATCGACCGTCCCGTGCTCGGTGAGCCTTTAGGATTTTGGAGGTGCCAGAGAGGCTGAGCACGTGGTCGCCGTCTTCCAAATGACAGTGCCAGCGTCCTCGACACCACAACAGATCTGCGTAGATCTGCGGCAGTTCGGGTTACGCTGCATGGCCATGACATCAACATCATCAACTGGACGATGTTGCTGGCCATATCTAGCCATTTACGACATTTAGATATATTTATGCATCCATTATCAATTATCATTCATTACCTTGTCGTACGTGAATTTCTCAGAATCCATCTGCTAAGCCATTCCCACCCTGGTCCTCTGGCAGTTGTGTTCTCATCGACCCACCAAGCAGGGCCAATGCGCCTGAAATGCCGCCTGGAGATGAGGAAAATTGGTCAAAGTTGGGGGATCTCACAAGGAGTTATTGTGCAGGGGCCTCGCTACGGCCGCTGCTTATCAAACGATTGTCTGCAAGTTTATCCCACAACCATTGAGTCTTCTGGGGCCTACCCGTTTGTACGCTGCTTTATAGACCTCACAACCTTGTAATTTCATGAAATTTGCCTGGGAATGGCAGAAATCAGGTGCTTCTCTTTTCAGCCGTCCACTCGACAAAAATGCAACCAGCTGCCCCATTACATCTGTTTTCTGCTGAGCGGCTGATAGATGAAACGTCCACCTTCAAAGACTTTGAGTTCAACTTGATTGGATCTCCGTGAGTGAAGTCCACGACCTTTGAATTGACGACTTCTGTATGTGATATCCCCATGTATCCCTCCCGGCGATGAAGAATCCATCATTTTCAATTTTCAATAATGAGGATATCCGAGAATTTGTGCTTTTCCATGAGTTTCCATGGCAATGTTTGGCCGCCGAAGGGTACTTGATGGTATTTGATGGTATTTGGCTAGAGGATCATACATAATGATCCCATATCCGCCGACCCCGGCCTTGGCCAAGGCAGGGGCGGCGCCTGGGACCACCGCAGGTGTGGAACTTCTCCCTCTGCGCTTTCCAAGGTCAAACCCATCTCGCAGCCAGCAAGCTGCCCCAAGGCCACATCGCGTAAACATTTTCCTGCCATGCTTCGTCCTCCAGTTAAGACTTCCAGGCATTTGGACATGAATGCCTCATCCTGCAGCCAACAGCCACCCCGAGGCCACACATCAATGGCTTCTTATGGGCCGCTTAAACAATCCCTTGGCATGCTTCATCCTGCAGCCAACAGGCACCCCAAGGCCACACATCAATGGCTTCTTATGGGCTTTCCAAGGTCAAACCCATCTCGCAGCCAGCAAGCTGCCCCACGGCCACATCGCGTAAACATTTTCCTGCCATGCTTCGTCCTCCAGTTCAGACTTCCAGGCATTTGGACATGAATGCCTCATCCTGCAGCCAACAGCCACCCCGAGGCCACACATCAATGGCTTCTTATGGGCCGCTTAAACAATCCCTTGGCATGCTTCATCCTGCAGCCAACAGGCACCCCAAGGCCACACATCAATGGCTTCTTATGGGCTTTCCAAGGTCAAACCCATCTCGCAGCGAGCAAGCTGCCCCAAGGCCACATCGCGTAAACATTTTCCTGCCATGCTTCGTCCTCCAGTTCAGACTTCCAGGCATTTGGACATGAAAATTACATGCTTTGGGAAACCCTTAAAACGCTGACTTGGCATGCTTCATCCTGCAGCCAACAGCTACCCCGAGGCCACACATCAATGGCTTCTTCTGGGCCGCTTAAACAATCCCTTGGCATGCTTCATCCTGCAGCCAACAGGCACCCCAAGGCCACACATCAATGGCTTCTTATGGGCGTCCAAGCCTGCCGTTTGCCAGCCCTTAAACCCTCCAAACCCAAACCCTCCAAACGCTCCAAACCCTTAAAAACCTTAAAACCCTTAAAACGCTGACTTGGCAACCCTCCACAAGGCCACACATCAATGGCTTCTTATGGGCGTCCAAGCCTGCCGTTTGCCAGCCCTTAAACCTTCCAAACCCTCCAAACCCTCCAAACGCTCCAAACCCTTAAAAACCTTAAAACCCTTAAAACGCTGACTTGGCAACCCTCCCCCAATGCTTTGGGAAACCCTTACCACGCTGACTTGGCATGCTTCATCCTTAAACAATCCCTTGGCATGCTTCATCCTGCAGCCAACAGGCACCCCAAGGCCACACATCAATGGCTTCTTATGGGCGTCCAAGCCTGCCGTTTGCCAGCCCTTAAGCCCTCCAAACCCTCCAAACGCTCCAAACCCTTAAAAACCTTATTAAAAACCTTAAAACCCTTAAAACGCTGACTTGGCAACCCTCCCCCAAGGCCACACACCAATGGCTTCTTATGGGCGTCCAAGCCTGCCGTTTGCCAGCCCTTAAACCCTCCAAACCCTCCAAACCCTCCAAACGCTCCAAACGCTCCAAACCCTTAAAAACCTTAAAACGCTGACTTGGCAACCCTCCCCCAATGCTTTGGGAAACCCTTAAAACGCTGACTTGGCATGCTTCATCCTGCAGCCAACAGCCACCCCGAGGCCACACATCAATGGCTTCTTATGGCAACTCTTGCAGCCCCCCAAGGCCACACATCAATGGCTTCTTTATGGGCGTCCAAGTCTGCCGTTTGCCAGCCCTTAAACGCTTAAAACCCTCCAAACCCTTAAAACCCTCCAAACCCTTAAAACCCTCCAAACCCTTAAAAACCTTAAAACCCTTCAAACGCTGACTTGGCATGCTTCATCCTGCAGCCAACAGCCACCCCGAGGCCACACATCAATGGCTTCTTATGGGCGTCCAAGCCTGCCGTTTGCCAGCCCTTAAACCCTCCAAACCCTCCAAACCCTCCAAACTCTTAAAAACCTGAAACAGCCACCCCGAGGCCACACATCAATGGCTTCTTATGGGCCGCTTAAACAATCCCTTGGCATGCTTCATCCTGCAGCCAACAGGCACCCCAAGGCCACACATCAATGGCTTCTTATGGGCGTCCAAGCCTGCCGTTTGCCAGCCCTTCAACCCTTAAAACCCTCCAAACCCTCCAAGCCCTTAAAAACCTTAAAACCCTTCAAACGCTGACTTGGAATGAACAGGCACCCCAAGGCCACACATCAATGGCTTCTTATGGGCCGCTTAAACAATCCCTTGGCATGCTTCATCCTGCAGCCAACAGGCACCACAAGGCCACACATCAATGGCTTCTTATGGGCGTCCAAGCCTGCCGTTTGCCAGCCCTTAAACCCTTAAAACCCTCCAAACCCTCCAAACCCTTGAACATTTTAAAACCCTTAAAACGCTGACTTGGCATGCTTCATCCTGCAGCCAACAGCCAACCACACATCAATGGCTTCTTACCCCTTGGCAATCCTGGCCAACAGGCACCCCAAGGCCACACATCAATGGCCTTATGGGCGTCCAAGCCTGCCGTTTGCCAGCCCTTAAACCCTTAAAACCCTCCAAACCCTCCAAACGCTTAAAAACCTTAAAACCCTTAAAACGCTGACTTGGCATGCTTCATCCTGCAGCCAACAGCCACCCCGAGGCCACACATCAATGGCTTCTTCTGGGCCGCTTAAACAATCCCTTGGCATGCTTCATCCTGCAGCCAACAGGCACCCCAAGGCCACACATCAATGGCTTCTTATGGGCGTCCAAGCCTGCCGTTTGCCAGCCCTTAAACCCTTAAAACCCTCCAAACCCTCCAAACCCTTAAAAATTTTAAAACCCTTAAAACGCTGACTTGGCATGCTTCATCCTGCAGCCAACAGCCACCCCGAGGCCACACATCAATGGCTTCTTATGGGCCGCTTAACAATCCCTTGGCATGCTTCATCCTGCAGCCAACAGGCACCCCAAGGCCACACATCAATGGCTTCTTATGGGCGTCCAAGCCTGCCGTTTGCCAGCCCTTAAACCCTCCAAACCCTCCAAACCTTAAAAACCTCCAAACCCTTAAAACCCTTAAAAACCTTAAAACTTAAAACGCTGACTTGGCATGCTTCATCCTGCAGCCAACAGCCACCCCGAGGCCACACATCAATGGCTTCTTATGGGCCGCTTAAACAATCCCTTGGCATGCTTCATCCTGCAGCCAACCGGCACCTCCCGTAAACATTTTCCTGGCATGCTTCGTCCTCCAGTTAAGACTTCCAGGCATTTGGACATGAAAATTACATGCTTCGTCCTCCAGTTAAGACTTCCAGGCATTTGGACATGAAAATTACATGCTTTGGGCAAGTAAGTTTTCCTCCGGAAGGTTTTGTCTGAAGGTTTTGTCTTTCAAGGCTCCTTCTTCGCTTTCCTAGGTCCAACCCGTCTCGCAGCCAGCCAGCCGGCGCAAGGCCACATCGCGTAAACATTTTCCTGGCATGCTTCGTCCTCCAGTTAAGACTTCCAGGCATTTGGACATGAAAATTACATGCTTTGGGCAACTAAGTTTTACTCCGGAAGGTTTTGTCTGAAGGTTTTGTCTTTCAAGCCCAAAGCAGCCGTTCCCGCATTCCTGTAGTAGCAGTTCAAATCATTGACCACGCTTACAACTTAAAATGCTTAAAACCCTTAAAACGGTGACTCATCACCCCAAAGCCACACATCAATTCTCTTAGGCGTCCAAGGTTGCCGTTTGCCAGCATTTACACAATTCAAATGATACCCCAAAGCCAGATCAATAGCTTCTTCTCGGCGTTCCAGCTTGCCGTTTACCACCTTTCTCTTTGACAACGCCGTCCTTGACAGAAAACTGCTTCCCACAGACCCTTCGATGGTCTACTTGCCCTGTCTTCACGTCACTGGCCACATTCCCTTTGCAAGTGGGGCAAATGTAAACATACGCTTTCTCCTTCACAACGCCGTCCCTCACAGAAAACTGGTTCCCACAGACCGTTCGATGGTTTATTTGCCCTGTCTTGACATCACTGGCCACATTCCCAATAGGGGGGTCGGCGGCACCAGGGCGCTAGCCCATTCTATAAACCCATCCTGAAGCAAATTGAGCACATCACAGAGACGCATAGAGGATCAGCTTGGAACAATCCAAAACGATACAACATGTCTGGAGCACAGTTTGTAGAGGATATACACCAGCAAATCCCAGCACAAGTTTAGACATTCTCTCACCCAGTGGCTTGCGCTTACAATCTTCAGTGCGTGGGCAAGCACATGTCGCGGGATGATGCAGCCATCGCTCACCAGGTCCCGAATTTCCGGAGGCCATTCCTGCGAAGGCAGGTCCTTGTTGAGGGCCACCGAAAGAAGAACCACTTGTCTCAGACTTTGAATCATCAAGGGATCTTCGGCAACTACAGCGGCCAGCACCAAAATCAGCAAGATCTCACTGTCTTGGGTCTTGTCGTGAAGAACTAAGATGGATCCATAGTCGTGTGATGGTTGGTCTAAAAGTTTACTGACGAGGCCAATCATTCTGCCAACATGCAAGCTGCTAATCTTCCCAGCAGCAAATGCGGCCTCAACAGCAGGAGCACTTCGATTTTCCAGGACGATATATACGCTGCTAACTGCCACCGACTCTTTAGCAGCAAAGAGCTCCGAATAGCAGCCACACCTTTCCGAGGTGTTCATGCCAGCGTGTAAAAAAAAGGACTTCACTTTGTCACACAGCTCATCATCCAACTCCTGAGCAGCCTCGTTTTTGGGAAGGAAAGCGTACAGGCTCCGTGCTGGATGTCTTTGCAGGAAAGATATGATCGCCTCCGCCTGGTGCTTGGGGCTTCTAGCCCTGAAGTTCCTCCCTAGCTCAGCCGCTGTCCAAGGCCAAATCTTGACTGGACGCACAAGGCCCCGCTGCACAGCAGCCGATCTTGGCAAATGAAATGCAACTGGGCCGCAGTCTAACGACTTGGCGATTTCAGAATGAAGCCCTCCATATTTCGGCACTTTCTTGGTCGTCCACTGGCAACAAATCGCTGAACTTGACAAACACAGCCTGTGACGAACTGGCAGATACCCATCGTCAAACATGCCATGCAAGGAACGTTTGCTCAATCGATTGAATGCAGTACTCAAGAAATTGTCGTCAATCATCACATCGACTGTCAAATCTTGCGTTTCTTCCAATACTGACTTGAAAAGGTCATAGTATTGGCCAAACAAAATGACAACCTTGCGGCGACTTTCACCCTTCAAGAAATTTACAAGTTCTTCGCGTCTGTTGGCAAGCTGAGAACCATCCTCTGTTGCTACACTGCCAGGGTCTCCCTTCCAGTTGCGACCCGAATTCGAATTTCGCTCATTCAAACAGAACATTGCCAGGCCGTCAATTGCCGCAGCAGACCATGTGGCATTAGCATCTTCAAGATGATCCGTAACAACCACAACCAGCTGCAGAGTCATTCCGAGGCGAAGCATGGCCTTCAAGACCTCTATGCCAACTTGTGGCAAGCCAGTATGCTCGGGCATCATGACAGTAGCCCTGGCACTTTCTTGCTTCATCCAGGTTTGTAACACCATATTGGCTGCGTATTGGTGAATCGATTCCAAGCTATTTGGAATGGCATCATAGGCGGAAAATTCGGTGAATGACACGGGTTGCAGTACTTGGCGAGCCAAGTGCAATGGGACTGACTGCTCAGCCAAATCAGTCCAAATGTGCGACTCCTTCTCCATTTCTGTCCTAAGTAAAAAGCAGGGCCGCACGTGACAATGGAAATTCAAAAAAACGTATTGCAGACATGCAATGTATTCCATGATATACTATACTTGTTCAATGTCATGAACATATGCTTTTATTTGGGATAGAGACACCGGTGGGTTTTGCCACATCATTGGTTTTCCTTTACTTCGACCAGTTTGAGGGATTTGGATATATCCTATGACATCCCCAATTTCGACGCTATGCCAAGTGTCATGACCTCTTTGACCTCATCAGGAGAGAAGCGACGCCACTCTTCTCCACCATCCAAATCCTGGGACTGGGGAGCATCTGGCCGGTCAAACACGTCCGGTCTGGGCAACATCAAACTGACTGACCTCGGGGAAAAGAAGGTTGATTCATGTTAATTCATGTTAATTCCTGATTGGGAGCTCGAACATGTGAGGCTCTTGCCAAACCTTTTACGACGCAGGGATCCATCACCTGTGCTCCAGAAGGCTGATCTCAGACCATGCGGGGAATCCCGGAAGCCCCCAACAACGTTGCAACGTTGGAAGAGGAGATCTATGGAGATCTGTTTGGCAAACCATCACTACAAACTACAAATTTGTTAAAGTGAATCTCTGTGCACGTCAAATCAGGGTGATATGCCACCAAGAGTCATCACTCCTGGGAAAGGCCTTCAGAATCCTCGCTTCTGCTGCACGCCAGTCAGGGACCGCAACCTCTTGCAACACCTCCAGGGCATTGAATTTCTCCAGTCCCTCGAAAAATACCACAGAGTTCATGATCATCATATTTGGTATACTAAAACAAATAGTATTATCTAATACTAAATAATTTGGTTGTGAATATTTAGTTTACTCTACAGTACAGTAGTTTTGCTCTTCTCCCATCAACGTCATCACCTCTGGCCGAAAGGGCTGCGAGGTGACGTAGGCTCGCAAGCGCTGCTGCATGTCCCGCGTGCCACCGATTTTGTAGTAGGGGCTGCGACTGGCTGGCTGTCCATCAGGGGAATATCTCAAGCACAGCAGGTAGATAAAGCCTGAGACTGTTGGGATAAACCACGACAAACCCATTGGAGAAACCGCAGCGTTGCTTTTTCGGATGGATGGATGGATGGGTGGTTGGACTTGGATAGGGTTGTGAGACAAACTTCAATGCACGGCAAAACCGATTTGTTTTGCGTCCTTTTGTTTTTTAAAGTCATTCTTACACTATCCAACATTCCACCAACATGCCTGCATCTTCCATCAACATCCGGAAACTGCTTGTTGTACTCATCTTTTGTCATTATCTTAATCCCCAAGAAACACCCGAGTGACTGACCTGGATCAAGCTGCCCAACCCCCAGCTCCCCCACAGCCGCCCCAGCCTCGACTGCAAAGCGTTTGAATTCCTCCGCGCACCATGGCAATCTCATCCTTTTTCCTGGGGAGAAACTGTGGGAGTCCCTTGGAAAGCACCGGTGGTGAGATGAGCGATGCCAAAAGTTGGCACATTCCTTAGCCACCATTATCATCATTGTCATCCATTACTGTCACATATTTTTTCACTATCCCTGTCAGTCACTGTCACCATTACAATTGCCATCCCCAAATTAAAATAGATCGGGGAACAAAAATAAATGTTAGTAGAAACTCATCTTCCAACCCCCCATTTGGCAGGGTCTGTGTAGTTTGTTGGGAGGGTGAAGGGCAATATCAGTATGCTTGTCATCCCTTCACTGGTTGGTAATCTCAACCACCCTCAGGCAGATCTCAGCCAGTCACTGCCAGCAACCAATCTCCATCGAAATTTCCACTAACATCTGGTTATGACTAACATAGCCATGGAAAATCACTATTTTTAATAGGTAAACCATCTATAAATGGGCCATTTTCCATGGCTATGTTAATGTTAAATAACCAGAGGGTAACATCCACTAACAAAAATACCTGGTTCATCTGGGATTTGCAAATCCGATCAAATCCGCTGTACCTAACAGAACTCTCCAATAGATTCATCAGGGGAACATCAACCAGCCAAATGCCCAACTCCTGACTGTTGGACTATCAAGGCTTATCTGGACGCTCTGAAATTCCAGGTTTAGAAGGTTAGAACACATGGGATTTGGAGATGGCACATTTCGGAAAACATATCCACATCAAAGCATCAAAGTAAATCATCAAAATACAGTTTTATCATATAAAAAACAAACCAACTGACAATCATCAAACAATCATCAAACAATCATCAAACTATCAACGAACAATCATCAAACTACCATCAAACTATCAAACTGTCATCAAACAATCATCAAACTATCATCAAACAATCATCAAACAATCAAACAATCATCAAACAATCATCAAACTATCAAACTATCATCAAACTATCAAGCTATCATCAACCAATCATCAAACTATCATCAAACTATCATCAAACAATCATCAAACAATCATCAAACTATCATCAACCTATCAAACTATCATCAACCAATCATCAAACTATCATCAAACTATCATCAAACAATCATCAACCATGCATCGAACTATCAAACAACCATCAACCAATCATCAAACTATCATCAAACTATCAAACAATCATCAAACTATCATCAAACTAGCAAACAATCATCAAACTATACCACTCAACTTCCAACTCCAAGCGTCTCCCATCTCCAGGTCTCCATACCATCCTGGAGCCTCCTAGGCCCCAGCAACACCTCCCCCACCTTCGGCTGCCGCGGTGCCAAGGGCTGGGGCACCTGCGCGGGGCCGTAGAGCGCCAGCAGCGCCAGGGGAAGTAGACGTCGGGCGCTGCGGGAAGCCATGGCGACGGTTGTTGAATTAGTTCGGTGCACCGAATTTTGATTGGACCATGTTGATGAAGATGTTTCAAAAAATGGTGAAGATTGGTGAAGATTGGTGAACACATTGCTGAAGTATCTTGAATGGTTTTTTTTCTCGACAGTCAAGACTCAAAGGAGGCACAGGAGACCTCCAACGTCTTCCCAAATCAATCCACCGTTCTATGGTCGATAGAAGTAGTGACATGTGCCAAGGATATCCAAGGATTGCTTGTTGTATTTATCAGAGCTTGTTGGATTGCTTCCTGTTGACACATGTCCTTGCTGTATCACTCCTGATGCAAGGAATTCAGTCGATGCCACAAGCTTCGAGGGTGTCCAATATATTGGTTCACAACATCAAGTGTCCAACCTCATGTCTGAATGGCATCTTGTCAGTGATAAAACATGATATAACCATAACATACCATAACCACATCCGGTTTTTCAGCCACAAGTTTCATATGTTTCATGATATTTCCTGATCCTGTTCGGTGGCCATGATCATTGCAGCTACTAATTGGGCCAGTATGGCTGCATCCGCGGATCAATCCTGGTGGATCTGAAACATGCTACCAAGCCAGTGCATATGGAATAACGATACCCACAGCTCTTTAGCTCCATTGGATAGATCTGATGTTTTGACTTCAAAGGTATGGCAGCCCTTTGTCACTTTGTCCTTTTCAACCTCCCAACTCCCAACCTCCAATGGATGTCATGATAATATCACACGACTGGGTTCTGGGTTCTGGGCAGACTGGAAATGCTCGTAGGATCCAGCCTATCAGCTGTCAACATCAGCAGAGTTTCCATCGCTTTCGGCCTAGCTTCAGTTGGCTGGTTTAAATGGCTAGATTTCTATAGTCGATTAAAATCACATAAAATCACATATACCCTAAGTTGATATACGTCTCTACGTTGGTTGAAGCTGGTTGAAACTTGAAACGTCCCAATTCATTGAAATCACTATCCCAAGCCAGTCCCAAGCTATCCCACGAACCCATCCAGTGACCGAAGCCTTGAAGCCTCCTCCACTGACCACCTCATGGAAATGATACCTCGGTAGATCATCCGGGAACTGGAAAAGCCATGGAAAGCCATTGGGAATCTCCTGGGCTTCGGCAGTGATTACCTGCATTTCTGTGATCTTTGAAGATCTGGAAACTCTCCCTGGACTTTGGCCAAAGTTCACCTTTGAGCATCACACACCAGGTAGGGATACCACAGCAATCTCAGGACAGCCTAGGTGTGGCAAAGGAGCACCACTACAGTAAAAGTAGAGCATACGTGGACCCGAAGCTGGATCACTTTTATTGTATTCAACAGTCCAAGTTTCATGAGATGTCAGGGCCGTTTCTTTTTCGAGTCATACAAGCGTACGTTGCTGGCGTCCAACTTCCATTCTTAAGATCCGCAACTTTGAACCCTCCTGGACGTATTTCGAGCAATGCTGTGGTGATGATGATGATGATGATGATGATGATGATGATGTCGATGTCGATGTCGATGACAAACATAGTAAGAAAGAGAAGAACCATCATGATCTATGACAAAGCAGTAATTCTGCTTACTTGGAGCACCATCCCCACCCTGCAACCCATGACTAGTTGGTGTTCATTTCATTCCTTGCAACTTGCAACACATGCATTAACTAATTATTCATCCCATCAAACAAAGATTTTTGTGTCCCGCATAGACAGACTAAGCCTGTGACCCAGGAGACCAAATGGCCAGTCTGAGCAAAGTTCCATTTGAAAACCTGCCGCCACCAAAATGCATCCGACTTGACGCCCGCCACCATGCTGCTCATCTTCATATGACAATGTCTGAACTTGGCGTAAATCCGAAAATTGACATCGGAGTGAGAAACTAGACATATCATTTATCATATTATTATAAAGTGGATTTAGATGCATTTAGGTTTAACATGGTTCAACTCCATTTCAGACAAACTCACATATATAATGGGAACTGGGAACCATCCAATTTTTAGTGCACTCAATTTTGACCCCCCCAATCTGGACTCCAACGTCATCCCCAACAATCTGCATTGCAATCAAACAAGGGGCAAAAATCCAAAAGGGATATAAACTATTAAATTGCAGGCAACATCAAGTACGCAAGCTTCTAGTTCTGCATGAGTGGCGTTCCAAACTGTGTCAGCAGAATAGTAATAGTAATGTTTCCCGCCTCCATTGATAGAAGTGTTTAACATCATGGATGCTGCAGTGACCCACAAATTGTGACTAGTTAGCATAGTCACGAAGCAGAGTGCCTTGTACAACGTCAGGAAGAGCGTATTCACTTCAACGGTGGTACCTCGTTGCCATTGCTGTGATCCAGCGGGGCAAGAGACAGGTCTGAATGATACAACTTCAAGCAATTGAAGACTTTACGGATTTTATATGAATGTATGATTTGCATGTCAGATCAAAAGTTTCTTCAAACCTCAGGTTGTTTGCAATTCCATGACTACCGGCATATCCTATGGGTTGCAATGGAGTTTGACCCATGGGAGCACAGTATGCCGTCAGATGCGCGAAGTCCGGGTGATGAATGGGAAAACACACCAACCAAGCAGCGGTCACCTGGCACAATGAAACTCAAATCTGAAAGTCGCTTGGGATCATACTCCTAGGTCCCTAGGTAGAGATGGAAAAGACTTCAGATATCTTAAGATATGTTCAGATGAAGGAAACCACAACAAGGTGCACTGTCAACTGTTCAGATGCACACTGATGCAAACCTGGAAGCAACAACGCATGTACAGCATGCTGTATGCCAAACACGTATCTACAGATTCTGCGCGTGTCGAACACCTGATCTTGAATACCAGTCGGTCTCTGTGTGAGCTATCCAGTCTCTTTAGATCTCTTTGATATGCATGTATGGGCAATTTTCTTTAAAAAAAATACTTAGCAAAGTCGATGCGCTCATCCTGTCACTTCAAGCATGCCACGAAAGGCATGGTGGAGCAGAATAGTGACCTCACGATACCGAAACCAGACTGGCTGCGGAAGATCAGAAGATCATGTCCCGTTTTCAGACTTTCAAATCTGCAAGTGCATCACACTCAGTGCATTTGGTTCTCCAAATACAAATGGAGGTTTCCTAAGCCATGAGTACCTCTTGAATTTCATATGTCATCCCTTTGTAGATGGTTTTTTTCCAAGAAATAAACCATCCATCTACTGGGATACCCTGCTATGGAAACCCTCCAAAATGGCAGCTGTGCGGTGAACCGCTGAGTTTCCAAACCCACCTCTTCCAAGTTGGTTGACAATCGGGTGCCTACCGGATGTTGAGTGGATGTGGGCAACATTGGAAAGTTTTTGTATTACATATGAACCAATTTATTCACCCCAACGTTCTAAGCCAGCACCAGCTTTGAACATGTCGATTCACATGGACTTAGGTTGATATATCATATATATATATCATATATATATATATATACGATCGTGATTTTAGAGCATTCATATGCAGTGGAAAACTGTGGATGTTCACCAAGCTCTGAGCACCGGACCAAAAGATTGTATGTCGTGTCCAGCACCATGTAAGACAAGACCTGGACAAATGACATGTCCGAATGTTCTTTGGCAAAATGGATGCTATATACTCACATATACAAATGAAAAAAACTATGATACCAAAATATAATTGGATGTTATAATTTGGATTCATCATGATTCATCTAAGCATCTATCATAGCATCTATATTATATATATATTATAATATATAATATCTATTACACTTACATTGATGGTTCAACAACCATCTCACCGGATTTCTGGGGTGTCCTGGACGTCTCAACGGCGATCCTGGATGTCCCAGTTTCCAGGGGACGGGGAAGGGAATCCTTGGAGTAGTTGGCACTCCCACTCCAGATCTTCCAAATATTGAACATCCAATGACATCCAAGTTTTCCCCACTGGTCAAGGCACCCCTGCTCACCTGGGACACCCCGACGCTCCAGGATAAAATGCCATGGGTCACCGGTGAAGGACGCAGAAGGGAGCAACCTGCCGAAGAACACAAACACATAGAGTCTCCAAATTCAAATCATTACCAAAGTAATGTTAGTAATAGTAAATCATGCCCAAATTTAAATTTACCATTCGTATGGGTGGCAAAAACCATCAATCCATATATATATATGGTTGGGGTTTATAGCACTGCTTTACCCACAATACCACGATACTTAAATAATAAACAATCATGGAGGTCTCTTCTTCGTCATGGGGGTGCCCCCAGTAAGGCGCCATGGCACCTGTCAAAAGCACCAAGGGTGGAATCATGAAGAGGTTGAAGCCTCGGCGAATCACTAAGGCTTCCACCAGATTTGGGCGAATCATTTTAATGGCTAATGATGGCAAAAAAGATGGTTGATCAATTTGAGAATGGCAAATCATGGTGAATCATGGTATATAATGGTATATAATGGTGAATATTGATACTCATAATGGTGATGTTACATGACTTTACATATTTGTATTTCACATGAAACACCATTGAAAAATAGCCATCTGACAGGGGTTAATTCCCCATCTTCAGGTACCACGGCCAGATGGGTAGCCTACTACAAAAGCAGACCTTTTCGCCCTGAGCTCCAAACGCTCATGGATGTGACGGATGCTTCGTCGCTTTTCATCGTCGGTCTTCATGGTCTTCATGGCTTCAGGGGATCGGGGACCACTCTGAGGGACACGTTCGACTTTTCAGACATTTCCAGATACTTCCAGCATTGCAACCATCTTCTTGCTAGAATTCTCATGTTCAATTGACTTATGAATCACCTTTGCTTTCTCATCTTTCGCAACGTTGCAGCGAGGACGTTGAAATGGGCCGGAAAACAGCCTGAACCAAGTAGAGATTGCAGCATGCAAATGACAGATACATTTTGATCCTGTGCGCTGGCTTCAACTTGGAAGCCTTGCATGCCTTTCTTCGTCAGTCAGCTTCCAATCAGTGCAGAACAAACACAAGGACAAACAAAAGTGAAACTTCACACTACATACAACGACAAATGCTGACCAACATGGAAATAAATAGGGCCCCAAAGCACCCCAAGATAATATGCGGAGATAAAGGGGGCAAAGTAATAACTCCTGCATCAAGGAATGACTCGCCAACAATATTTGCCCCAACCATTCCTACCATCCCCGGTCTGCTGCAGCATTTTTTGTTCCTCGTGTGACATAGGCGTCACTTCTCCCGCCGAGGCAGCAGATGATGCGTCCACGACTGGACCTTCGGGTACTTCGTGACCTACAGCGCAAGGCTTGGGTAGGCTCAGATTTTGAGGTAGCTGGTCTAAATTAACAGTTGGACCCTGAAAATCAGCAATTGTTTAGTGGAAATCTAAATTCTCCAACCCCTATCTGGCAGGGTCCATGCTAATTTACTGGAGGGTAATTTTTAAGGCCCCTTGATATCTTGGAGATGTTTGGGTACGTTGGCGCAGAGCTCGCAAACTAAGACACACTCATATGATCAATATGTAATATACATCCTGTATATGTATACGTATTTACAAATATGTACAAATATATCAATCTATATTCCCACTGAAAAAAAAAACATGTTGAGCAACATCATTCCTGGATGTGCCCTTCCAGCCCGACAGCCTGAAGGAATCCTGGCCGTATCTTCTAAGTTTGGAGGCTCCTGGGCAGTTTTGCTCAACGGAGATGAAACCAACAAGTCCGTGTGGTCTGCAGATTTTTCTGTCGCTTTTACTAGACCACCATCCAGTTGTGTCCCATTTTGGAATTACCCGGACAATCCATTGAAATGTGACCATTAGGGATTGAACACGTCTAGAGATGATAGCACTGCACTGCAGTAGCCTTCAAAGCTCGATCAGAGTGCATCTGCCTTGCCTGCAAAAAACTAAATGCCGTCGGGCAATCACACATGGCAATGGAAAATACCTCAAATAAATCTCAATTATATAATTGGGGATATTCTTCCAGTTATGTTGAAATAAAATCACCCAATCATATATGACTTTCCACAGGGTAAACAAACACCCTCTGCCCAACTTGCGCGAGGCCGACTCCAAAACGTTCAAGAATGTCATGGAAATAACAATAGCCAATCCAACTATAGATAATAGTGGTAGATACTGATACATATATATATATATAGTGATAATAGTATTTAATAGGTATTAATAGATTTTATTATTAATAGTCTTACTCTGATCCGCAATTTTCCTGGACTGCTGATAGACTGGCTGAGATCAGTCCTCGCTTGTCTCCAGTGCAGTTGCTATGGTCGCTGATCTCAAACCTTGGAGATGTCACAGACAACACGATTAACAATGGAGTCCAGCAGTCGCTCAATCGTGCAGAAAACAGTTCCATATAATTCCATATATATATATTGATATATATAAATTTAATCTTTCTCCTTGCCTAATCAAAATCCGGGTCAGTATGGGTCAGTACATTAGCATGTGGGTGTGTCTGAAAATTGGGTGTACCCCCCCAATGGCCATTTTATAAGGGGATAATGATTTTATGAACCAATTTGACTAATGGATCCCGGGGTAGCCAATTCTGAAACACATTCATATCCGCTATGCATGGAATAAATCATCTTAGATCCCCATTGTTGCTGGTGAAGTTTCCACAATAATACACTCAACTTCAATCTCCTCTGCGCAGTCAGACTTCCTTCTTCGGCTGAGCTGTGTCCTTCCATCGCTGGTATACGCTGGTGCAGCTACAGTCTGGTAAACCAACACGGCAATGTTGGAAATCTCAAAGAACCCCCACGTCTCTTTAGATATTATGAATGCTAAAAGTCCATGAATCTCATGAACATAGGAATAATCTTCCCATTGCCACCTCAGATTACTAGACTTGGGCTAACCATGGAAGTCTCCAAGGCTTCATTAGGCACAGTGCCTGTAGGTCAACAATGATGATGATGATGATGATGATGATGATCATTGATAAAATGATACACTTTTAAATCAGACTTCATAGTAAAACATATTATTAGTTATAGTTAATTATACTTCATCATGATTTAATGATAATTATATAATGATAATTCATTATAATTCATGAACAGTAACAATTGTTGATGACAATTAATGAAGATGATCTACGGCTCAGTTGTCCTGACTCTGATCTTGGTGCGCTCGGGGCCGACCTGCTTGGCTTCACATGATTGGATAACTGGTATGATATGCCCTCTGAGAACTTGACAAAGTTATGGACAATCTTCATTTTTAATATTCTTTAATAGGTAAATCATGGTAAATCATGGTAAATCATGGTAAATGATCTGAGTCATCTTCATGGAAGTACCAGAGGGAAAAACAAAATTGCAACTGGAATAACAACTAGTACTATACTTAATGGTTTAAACATTGAATGGTAAATTGGACAACCGGCAGCTGGTGCCAACCCATCCCGTTAAAACCAATGGGTGTATAAGATCATCAGCTACCTACTCCTTGGTTTAAATCAACGCAACAACTCAAAACGATCCAAGTCTGTAAAGGATCATTGATATACCATGAAATTTGCCATGATATACCTAACTTATTCATGATATACTGATATAATCTGATATACCTATCTATTATTCATCCAATATTAATAAGGACTTTGGGTATCTTAAACATCTTGGGCGTTGATTCTCAACATGCTGCTCCCAGAAATCGCCTGGATCCACTGGAGGAATCGCCAGAGCCTGGGCTTGATGATTTCAGTTACTTGAAAACAACGAGACAATGAGATATGCGTGGAATGTATAGATATGTAACATAATATGTATATAGATATGTAACATGATATGTATATCAATATCTACCATGATATGTTTATATGTAGCATGATATGTGTATAAATAAACATGTAACATAATATGTATATAAATAAATATGTAACTTGATATGTATATAGAAATGTAACATGATATGTTTATATGTAGCATGATATGCGTATAAATAAACATGTAACATAATATGTATATAAATAAATATGTAACTTGATATGTATATAGAAATGTAACATGATATGTTTATATGTAGCATGATATGTGTATAAATAAACATGTAACATAATATGTATATAAATAAATATGTAACTTGATATGTATATAGAAATGTAACATGATATGTTCATATGTAGCATGATATGTGTATAAATAAACATGTAACATAATATGTATATAAATAAATATGTAACTTGATATGTATATAGAAATGTAACATGATATGTTTATATGTAGCATGATATGTGTATAAATAAACATGTAACATAATATGTATATAAATAAATATGTAACTTGATATGTATATAGAAATGTAACATGATATGTTTATATGTAGCATGATATGTGTATAAATAAACATGTAACATAATATGTATATAAATAAATATGTAACTTGATATGTATATAGAAATGTAACATGATATGTTTATATGTAGCATGATATGTGTATAAATAAACATGTAACATAATATGTATATAAATAAATATGTAACTTGATATGTATATAGAAATGTAACATGATATGTATATAAATATGTAACATGCTATGTATATACATATCTACCATGATATGTATATATATAGATATGTAACATGATATGTAAATAGATATGTAACATGATATGTGTATAAAGATAAATATATATGTAACATGATATGTGCATAAATATATGTATATATATATGTAACATGATTTGTGTATTGATATGTACCATGATATGTGTATAGATATGTAACATGATACGTAAATAGATATGTAACATGATATGTATATAAATATGTAGTATTATATGTATATAGATATGAAACATGATATGTATATAGATATGTAACATGATATGTGTATAGATATGTAGCATGATGTGTTTTTAGATATGTAACATGATATGTATATAAATATGTAACATGATATGTATATAGATATCTACCATGATATGTATATAGATATGTAGCATGATATGTGTATAAATATACATGTAACATAATATGTATATAAATATAAATGTAGCATTATATGTATATAAATATAATTGTAACATGATATGTATGTAGATATGTAAATAGATATGTGTCATATGTGTGTTCATATGTGTCATATATGTCTGTTCCTGTTGAAGTGTAGATTGCTCGTTTTGATCTGTTTTCAAATGATGTAATGTCGACCCAACAGCTGTGCAGTAACGTGTCAAAGATCGGAATGCATGATGACACCCTGAACACCTATGGGAAACGAAATGAAACTATATACTAGAAATTACTAGAACATCTATTGCAGTAACATTCATCAGCCCCCATAGTAATACTCTTATATGATAAATTTCATGGCCGTGTCTTGGTCCATGATGAACCCCAAACCTAGAATTTACACATTTACTTCCCGTTCATTTTAAGTATTCCCCAAAGATATCAGATTGTCCCAATGGGCCCAGAGGTAGTCATGCCGGGTGCCCCCACCAGCCACTTCCACATCCACCGCGGTTTCTTTTGGAAGCGTTTTCTCAGGCCTGGAGGGAGCTTCAACCTCCACTGGGAGGTTACGGGAGGTTCCCAGAGGTTAGTACATGTATACCATTGGCAATTGCGGAATATCGGTGTCATCTATTGGGATATATATATATAATTATATTTATTCATTGATATCACAGTTGATTTATTGTTCTAGAGACCTATCTACCCATCTACCCATCAACACATCTAGCTATCTGATTATCTACCTACCTACCTATCTACCTACCTATCCATCTATCTATATGTCACTCCGTCCGTCTGTCCATTCCTGATCTATCCGACATCTATCCTACATACAAGGCCCTATTTTCAGTTTCTAACTGGTTCAAAGTTCCACGATCATCACATGAGGGAAACGGAAAAATCCTCAGCCGACGTGAAGAATCAGCAGGCATCCTCACTCGAAATGATTTCGTCAGAATAATGGATGGGCGATATATTACACCAGAAAACGTGACTGGAACTACCATCTAAATCTTCAAATAAATCATAGAAGTAGAGAGTCCTAAAACAATGAATCAAAAACAGGTCCTAGATTAAAACCCATCAATATGTTCCTGGAGTATTTCTGCCATATTCCCAGTTGAACTTGCTTGATCTCTTTTGTTTGCACGCCCACCACCATATCATTTGGCTCTATCGAATGTTTTTCGCGTGATATCTTCTAATCTTTGGTAGGTGGAATCGCACACATGTAGGGTTGTCTGAAAAATTGGGTACCCTCCCAATCCGATGAGGTTTCTCATCCTTTGCCCATCCTTTTCCCCATCCAAAAGCGCCCAGTTGTCGCCACCTGTCGTCCACTTGCAACACTGGGCGCACGGGCACCTCCATGACCGCGGTTGTCGGGAAGCGGCTTGAAAACCAACAGGCTCCATCTTGAAAAAGATGGCCCGTTCTATTCTCATATGCACAACTGTCATCTTAAGATTTTCAAGCCTACTAAGTAACTAAAGCGGCTTTTGTTCGTTTCCACAATCTGCAACAGTCTGCAACACTGCATCTCCTTTTCTGCGCGTTGCTGACAGCGACCTACCAGTGCTCTGCACATGGCAGGAGCGCGGCGCGAGCTGCATCGACTGGATCGACTCAAACGTCGAGTCCAGTTCTGCCGGACCCACGGGAAACTGATGACCTGCACCTACCACCCCAGTTCTTGTTATTGCAAGTTCCAAACATCAGACACTTGCACCTCAAAGTGCAAATCACTTCAATTGCCCGTGAAGGTAGAACAAATTGAGACCCAAGGCCGTTTCACGCTGAGTGTTTCTCCGATCTGTCTTGGAGCTATGTACACACCATTTTGGTGGACCGATTGGCCACCAGCGGTTCATGAAAGGCGGATCAACCTAACCCTTCAGCCTCTGCGACTATTAAAATCAGATCACGGATGTAATGCTGCCCAATGTCGAACTCCAGTTCAGGCACAAGCAACATCTGGAGGAAACGACAATACCTCCAGGCATGAATGATGGCGGGAAGGGCGATGCCTTGAAACCCCTTGACAACGGCCCTGATATAATGTGCCGTCGTCTTGCCCCGGACCGTTGCAGGAATCGTCATTGTTAAGCGTCTAAGCATATAGACTTGTTTGTCGCTGAAAGCAACCTCAAGTCCAGGAACGAAATCCAATATCTGCGACAAAAGAAATCAGAAGCCTGTCAACAAACACCTAGGCTTTGAAGAATAATTTGCCAGGATGCAAGCATTTTTTTACCCTTATGATAGCAATTAATTCAGGTCGAGCAGTGAATAATAGCACAGGAGTGTTGCATTCGATAGAGATTGGTATCCGCATCTGACTGTTTGAAACCCCTTCTTTCTGATAAACATACAATCATGAACTGTATGCCTGTGTTTGGACAGACCTCATGCTTGCATTCAGCATCATTCCGGCCTCAAGCAACAGCGGTCACCTGAGGCTCATATGTAATGAAGGATGGTGTCAAATGACCTTCTTCATTCAAGGTCAACTTGACTACGGCGCCCTTGTTCCGGGCATGGCCCAAATAGTTGGGAGCTGAAAACACTGTGATGCAGTCAGAGTGAGTCCTGAGCGTAAAGGATTGGACCCCGCATGAGAGCTACCCATGCTCGGGTGGCTGGCCGTGGTACCTGAAAATTGGGAATTTACATGAATTTACTTCATGCCATTGTAATTTAAGGGGCAAGCAAATGATACATAACACGTCATAGAACCACAGGATTTTGGGGTATCCCATTTTCAGACACGCCCCCAGGTATGTGATTTTTTCATCTTCATCTATTGATGCTGGTCTTTGCACTGGAAACCGTGCCGGTCACCTAGCACGACTCTCCCCTCCCACTGTTAACGTACCAAGCTAGTGATTTTGCATATCTCAGCCATCAGCGTTGGGACCCCAAAAATTACTTAAACAGTAAATCCTGAAAATAACTAGTCAATTTTCCCGGCCTGGTCCAGAGAGACTTTTGACTCCACTCCCAACTTGTTTCTAGTATCCTCTAGTGAAATTCCTCTGATATCTTGGGCAAAACACTTAATTACAGCAATTTCATGCAATTTCCACCAGTGATCAGACCTGAATATCCTATCAATCCTACCTTCCGTGTATCCCTTGGCGATCGCCAAGGTACCATTCATAGCCCTGCACCTTGACTTCATGCGATCGGATCATTAGTCGCAGCTGATTCTTTCGGAGGAAGGCCGTGGTCACGTCGGGGCCAAAGATGTAGCAACCCTTGCGCACGCGGTAGGAGGGACCATAGCCTCGGTTTGCGATGCTGGGATATGCTGGGATGATGATCCCTGAAGTTCATGCTGAGGAAACTTGAACTTGATATGCCCAAACTAAGTGCGATGTGTTGATTGTATGAGGATATACTATATATATATGCTACCCCCAAACAAATCTACCTTTTCACTGTTTTTCTCTTACCCCTCCAATACCACCTGAAGCACCCTTTTGGCAGAAGATATGTTGTCATATTTGTTTGTTAGAGATGCAGAAAGAAACATTGGGAACATGGGAAGAACCAAGTCTCCAAAGCATTTGATTTGAAGAAAAATGTTGCTACAGGAAAATGCCGCTTACAAGTTACAAATCTGCCTTGAAACCAAAATATTCCCTTAAATAAGAACCACTATTCTTGCAAGAAAACTATCATGTGTGGAAGGGTGTAATACATTTTTTTACTGAAACTCAGCTTTCCTCTCATTTCTCTTGTATGACCATGGTTTTTCGTTTTTTTGATGAAGTATATAGAGGTAACATAGTAAGAAACATGTTTTGATCAACCATAGTTTAAATGCAATGACTATACCTTTGCTATAGTTTCAATATACCTTTAACATACCACTTTATTGACTATGAACTTCAAGATTCCTTTAATACGTCCTTTAAATACAATGTAATACACCTTCAATATACATTTTATATGCAATCTTTATACTTTTTATTATACAGTTATACAAGTTTCTTGGTCATGTTCTTGCCTCCAATATACCTTTAGGATACCTTTAATATACCTTTGATTAGGGTTTCTCTGAACATTGAATCATACCCCAAATTTGTTGTCGGTTTGAGCGGCATCATTGCCCCCATATACCATCTGGTAATTTGACATAGCTATGGCAGCTATGGAAACCATGGCCCATTTAGTTTAATGATTTGTACCTATTATATAACATTATATAACTGGTGATTTTTCACTCCACCTATTTCATGGCTGTAGATTATTTTACATAACAATTTAAGGGTGAAACGCATAATGTCTCATTTTCTAAAAAAATAGGTCATGTTCATATTTTAGTGGCTAAAATCACTCATACTGTGGATGGAAGAAATCCTGCACCAGTTGGTAGATGGTTTGTCCCATATGCATTCATTAAAGTGTTTCATAGTTACCAATAGTTACCAACCGATGCATGATTCTTCCATCCACTGTCTCACCAAAAACGGTCGGAACCATATCCCTATTTATATCCAGATTAACCAGCTATCACTAAAATTGGTGATTTTCCTCATATATTTTCCCATTCATATTTCCCCTGTGAAACTGGAAAATTGATGAATTTTCCCATAGATTTCCCACACAATTTCCAGCCATCAACGAAGCCCACATCTCCACCGAGGCTCCGGTCTTTCCACGAGGATCCGCCCAGAGAAGATCGACGATCAAACGCTGCACCTCCGCCTCCGCCTGGATGATGGGTCAGTAAACCTCCATCCGCCATGACATGAAGTTATAATGTGTGTAAACCCATTCATGGAGTTATGATATGGTCATATATGTATATAATATGTTAGGACTATTATATTATGTTAGGTATTGGAGTTATAATATGATGTAAAATCATACTCTTGGTCCATGAGCCTGGCACACACCCACATTGCAATGATAGAGCCAATCAGCATTTGGTGAAATGCTCTATTGGGCAGCGCACGAAACTAATAACAACATGCTGTTAGAATATGTTAGGAATATGTCAGCAATATGGTGAGTTTGACCAATATTGGGATGGGTCAAGTCAAACTATGCAATTACCTTGTTCCAAGCCCATTCCAAGCAACTTTGGCTATGTAAATGGTGCTTTCCAATATTCCAAGCCTATTGCATATATTACTATGCAAATGTGGTTATAATATAAGGGTTGGGTCAAGCAACCTATGAAATTACCATATTCTTGGGGAAGAAACATCCATTCACCAGCTATGACTTAGCGTACCTAGGGCCTAGGGTGCCAAGGTTTTGACTCATAATCATATGCTAGCTAGGAATACCTAAGGAATATATGTGTCAGCAATATGTTGGGAATAATTAATATGTTAATATGTTTATATATGGTATAATAATATGTAATAATATGTAATAATATGTAATAATATGTAATAATATGTAATAATATGTAATAATATGTAATAATATGGATACTCACTGGCAAATGAATGCAAAACACACTACTCCTAGTTGCTCCCTGGTATGGATACTTACAACATGTTATAACTTATTATAACTCCATTTCTATCTGGTAGGGACCATCAATGCAATAGGGCACCCACCTTTCAGGCCAGCAAAAAAATCGCGTGAATGGTAGGGCAAACACGCCTATAGAGTTTATGGATCCCAATGGATCCGATCGATCCTCAATGGCACTTTACAATACTTTACAATCATATTGAAACAACATGCACAGCAACTCGCCATGAATAAACCCGAACATCCTTCCAAACAAAACAACAGCTGGGATCCACACGTGATGGGACCGGTCAAAACACATCACGATGTTTGAGTGATATTTCCTGCCAACATATATCCCTCAAAGAACTCTTCACTACACTATAACTTGTAACATCTTAGCACCAGACCCAACAAAATGGTTTGGACTGGTTTGGTCCAGGTATAAATATAATGTTCATTGCGATTTCATTGCGACTTCCCTAGCCAAACGTAATTGTTTTGGTGGTTATGTATACAACAACTCATAATTCAAATCATATAGTTATTTCATGTATGATTCAACATCATTAACCATAGGTAAACCATCAATTCCATTTACCATTGTGGAAATTGCAGACTCTTGTAAGGTTATGATAAATGTCACAAACCCTTTAATTTAAATCATATGGGAGGATCCGGCGACCCCGGCTGGCAGCAAGGGGGAGTGCGTCAGGCGAAAGAAAGGCTAACCACCGCCCAACACCACCACCACCACCACCACAACAACAACAACAACAACAACAAAAACAACACCTAATCAGCTAGTTAAAATCAATTTTTCCAGGGTTTCAAAAGTAATGTTTAGCAGTTTTTGCGGCACCTTTTGGCACGAAATTGGGTGATGTTTTGCTGCTTAGCGACCATGCGAGTTGGAACGATCGAAGCGAGACTTAACAAAAATAAAACCACGGATGATGACACATGAGAAGATACAAAAATAATGTCAGAAGTTACTTTCAAAAGTGAGGAGCGTAGCATATCATATAGAAGTTACTTGAAAGAGTGAAAAGGGCGTAGATCAAGAGCGCGTTGGAAGTTGGCTGAATAAAAAGCGAAAAGCATAGCATCAAGAGCGTGTTAGAAGTTCCTCGAATGAATGAAGAGAACGAATCTATAAAAATTATCTAAATCTCATTGTTTTCCAGTTTTCCATGGTTTTCCTCACCCTTCCCCCCTTTTTTTTCGGGAATCCCTTGCCTCCGGCAGCCGTTCCAAGTCCCGCAGGTCCGTGGCCGGGTCGCCGCCGCGCGGCAGGTTGGCGATGTCCTGGAGGCTCAGCTCATGGCGCCGCGGCGGCAGGCTGACGTTGTCCGGGTTGTAGCCTTTACGGGAGCTGGATGACACCCCCAACAAAGTGGTTGATTTGGGGATGGATCAATACCTATAATACCATTTTTAGTGGGATGAACATCCATTTACCAGCTATTTTGATGTTCACCAGGGGTACAAGGTTTTGACACACTGCCATTTATGTTTAACTATCGGTACCTCCAATTTCGGTTCCTGACATGGCCATTGATCATGATTTATCACTGTTTTATGGGTGATTTAGCAGTTTATGATAATGGCACCCCAACAAAGTGATGGATTTCTCTGGATGTATTACTGTTTTAGGGGGTTAACATGGTTTAACTATAGTTTATGGATGTTTATTGGGGATATAATAATGGGATATAACTATATGGATATAGTATGGGTTAACCAACTAGTATACTATAGTGTGATATGCAACCCCTCAAAAAAAGATGCCAAAAAAGTGATTTATCACTGAGTGGGATTTGACGTTCCTAAATTCTGGGGTTGCTATACTATGATTGAACTACTTTTAAGATACTCTTGAACTGATATCATTTTGAGACCTAGATGTTGTACCTTCATGTACCTACTACAACAATTTTTGATGTGCTTTCGATATTCTTTCAATGGGATTAATTGTTTTTTTTCGATGTAATCCTCAGAATTCACATATGTTGTTGCGTTATTTATGTGGGTGCGATTTATAAGGAGTTTCAGGTATTCAAAACTTGTGATGATTATAGTATACTATAGCTATACTATGCTATACTGTATATTCTAGTTGCTGCTATATGTTGACAGAATTCACCACTTTAATATTTTTTGGGTGGCTGTGTTCGGGGATTTTATAGCTTTAGCCTTATGTCGCGATAAGGATTCGCCAGCCAATCTTTGTTTTGGGCTTGTTGGGAAAAGGCAAATAACTGACGTATTTTGTTCTGAAAGCAGATGCAAAGAAAAAAAGAACAAGGACTCTTTGAGAAAAATGTCAACACTTGGCATTTGAAACTGACATATGTATCCATATCTGGCAAGTGGCCCAACAGTGACAGGTTCTGGCCCCCGCCCCGGCGGCCGCTGTCCACCATGGCATCGTAACCCGTGCCCTTGCCACCCGCATCGTTGAAGGGCAAACGGGGATCTGGACCCGGCAACCCGGCGTGGACCACAAAGACCTTCGGCCGAAGAGCAGAAGGCTCAAAATGAACTAGAATGAATGGGATGATGATGATGATAATGATATGATGATCACTATCATTATTTAACCACATTACTAGTAATGATTGATATTGATGATGATGATTATGATGATGATGATGGTAACAAAATTCATACACATTCTAGATAATCGCCCATGATACATGACTGGTTCAAAATATCATTTGGCTGCACCTCGTCATTTAGCACATGTGCTAAAGGTAGCCATCGAAAGCTTTCGGCGAAGGCATCGAACAAACGCTTGCCAGCCGCACCATAGCGCTCTCGAATCTCTGCAGCGAAGCCGTATCTCAAATTCAAATCCGCTGCTTCGTGATTCCCGCGGTTCATGAAAACTGCTCTTGGAAAGCGAAGTTTCAACGCGAAGAGCAGCAGGATGGTCTCCAGAGAAAAAGCACCACGATCCACAAAATCTCCATTGAAGAGGTATGGATTCGATTCGCTTACCTTTCCTGGATGGTGGTTGGGGAAAAAACGTCTGAAGCAAATGCAAAGTCAGTGGAAATCATCATCTGCTTAGTGGGGATAAAGTCGTAGAGCTACAAACCAATTGATCCCCCACATTTCAATCAGACATATTCAGACCATTTCATAACCACCAGTACCCTCTAATTTGACATAATTTGACTATAGTTCCACCGTCCAGCCCAACCTCCCAGTTTGGGATACGCTTCAACCATCACCCAGTTTCCGGTGGTATCAAAGATCCGCAGTAGGTCAAAGAACTGTCCATGAAGGTCCCCCACCACCACCACTTGCTGAAGCTGAACCCGCTGCAACGTCTCCTCCTTCCGCAAGAGCTCGGCAACGTCGTCCACCAAGCGAACGGCATCGTCAATGGAGAGAATGACCTTCAAGGGGCCTCTGGCTATTCAAGACAATAGCATATAATAGCCATGGAGAATTGCCCATTTATAGATGATTTACGACGATTTATGACGATGTATGACGATTTATGATTCTTTGTAGATGATTTATGATGATTTATGACTATTTATGATGATCTATGATGTTTTCTTTGAAATGATGATCTTCCATATGATTCTCCATAGCTACGTCAAATTACCACATTTGTTACCACATTTGGTACACCTTCGACCTGCGATGTCACTACCAGATGTGACCACCCCACCTGCCCAGCATGGTCCCGCTGTATACGGAGCAGTCGCTCCAAGAAATCGTCGTCCACGTGCCCCTCGTACGACAGGAGTCCCGCTGGGCACGGCTCTGGGTCCAGGTCGATAGGTGGAGAAGGTCCTGTGACTTCATCAGATGTGGATCAGTGGAGTTTGATGGGATATCTTGGGGATAAGGATATAAATCAAACTCCACTTAGTGTGGATATAAATGATCCTATTTATACACTAAATGTGGATATCTTGGGGATTATTGATTTATAGGATTCATTTAGTGTATAAATACTGGTTGGCTGGTTGGTGGTATACCTACCCCTCTGAAAAATATGAGTTCGTCAATGGGAAGGATTATCCCATATATGAAATGGAAAATAAAACATGTTTGAAACCACCAACCAGATATTCCTTGACCTTGGGATAGTTGCTCTTTACTGACATGTCATGTATTGATAATGGGATCTTGGGGATCTTGATCTTGGGACAAATATTGACAGCTGATATTTACTCATATTAATGAGCATCAATGATGATGGTGTTGATAATGATGTTCACTGTTGCTAAGTGTCTCATTGTCATGTGTATTCCACTCATCAACCATGACTCATTGTTGTTGTGCTCAATGATGAGCACAACGACGGGGACAGCAACAAAATACAGGTTAACATGCGCAAATCTCAATCCCTGTCAGTCATGCTGATATTGCTCACCAATGCCGCGACTTTGATGAATGGCTTGATTTGAGGAACAAAACACAGGAAAACATGTTTTTGTTCCATAAATTTCTGGGATTTGAGATGCCCGTGAATCAGACACAAGGTCCTCCCCTCGTCCACACCTGCTGGAGTCTTATCTGCTTGTTTCAGCTGGACAAACCTGCGGGCCCGCAGAAAACACGGCTTTGTGAAGCAGATTTAATTGGATTCGGTGGCTCAGTAGTGTCAAACACTATCAGAAGAATGGAGAAAAAGAACACCGCAGGTGTTCTCTTTCTTCTTTCATGGTGTTGGGGTTCATGTTGAAACCTGCTCATCATAGCTTGAGGACTGAGTCAAATCAATGGCACAGCCAGTTACACATTCCCAAAATGTCCCGCCTCAAGTGCCTGTGGATCATCTTCTATCACTGAAATCAAACCTAGAAATGGAGTTCCAACTAATAATGATATAATTTGTATTACTACTTATACTTATATATTATATGTTATATCAATTTTATATATTCACCAAAAAAATATCCTTATACCAATCAAATTTGGCTCCAACCCGGCCATTCTTCCCTTGGTCAGGGGACTCTATCGTCACCGGCAGCTCTGCGGGTGAATTGGTCATCTGTCCCCTGGAGAGACTCTGAAACTTGCCACCTGCTGCGAGCGGTACATCAACATCCGCGAGGCTTGGAGAACAATCTCAACCCTAAGAAAGGAACACCAATATCCTACAAATATATGAATATATAATATATAATATAACTAACTAATGTATTTATATATATACAGTATATTTATGTATATACGTACAAATAGATATATATATATATATCTTTAAAGATCTTTAAAGTCAGATCTTTTCTATGTTTTCCGGCATTGCTATTCTTCAGATCGCTGTTGCACATCGTGGCACATCTTGCGTCACCAGGGCACTGGAATTGTCCAAGATCTTGTCGTTCAACAGGTCCAAAATATCTTGGAACTGCCAAGTCGAGATGTCTGTGCCGTTGATGCGCTTCACCTCAGAAACCCGCTGGGGAAATGTGATGCTGCCATGCCGTCAGAGCGACCCTTAGATGACACACGGTAAAACACATTAGGACTTTGGATCTGAAAGAGGAGAATGATCGGACGTTGGACATCGAATGGTCAATAGGTACATGGACTGGCTGGATCTCATTCCATCAACACCAGGAAACTCAAGGCTTAGACCGAAGCTAGATGATAGTGGGTCATTGTTGCCGATTTGCTTTAACACATCAAGTCAAAAAATGCAACTGGCTCGTAATCATCCATCGAGTTTGTGGTGACATGATGTGAGCTCAAAAATCCTATCGAACGCCAATCCTATCGAAATAAAAACATCAAAAACCAACGGACTGAATCTCCATTCTAATGGGATGGCTGGTGTGGAACTAACATCAGAGAACATCAGAGAACTTCACCAAGGCGGCGTCCTCCATGTTGAAAAAAAAGATGAAAAACCAATATGCCAGAAACATCCAGTTGCATCCCCATTCACCAACCATGGGGGTCAACAAAAATCATCCCAGATGGATTTATGGGGGCTATTCATGGGCCATGGCTATACCCCATGAATATCGATCAGTTACATCCAGTTGAGCTGCCGGGTCGCCACCATTCTCTCCACCACACCTTGCCTTGCAGCCCGCCCTTGAGGATCGCCCACATATCTTTCCTGGCCAAGTTCCCACACCATTGCGCCAATGCCATTCCTGGGCAACCATCGCCCACGAAAAACACAGGGAAGTCTGTGAGACTTCCTGGATCTTCCTGGTATATCTAGTGTATCTCCCTGGTAAACCCCACTTCACAGGATTCTGATCACACCATGGAGTTTTCATACAATACAAATCAGAATAGTCAAAGTATGCGGAAGAAGACAACAGGAGTGATGCATCCATCTCCAGACACCTTTGGCCGATAACTACACAAAATCTCTCCAAATCCACCAAAACCGGTACATCGGATTGCAAAAACATCTCCAAACTATCAGAGTTATCTTATGTCATCTTCATCCATCTTCATATCATATCGATCTTCCAATTTCCCCCAAAAATTCCCAAACCTGCCCATCGGTTCATCAATATCTCAACATCCACCAGGCGTCCTGCTAGGTGCATAGGCCAATACCCCAAAGGGTCGCCTCTCGAAAATTGCCAATTGGCGCCCTACGACCAGGTCGCTGCCGTCCCGGGCGTCAAAGCTGGGTGCCTCGTGGATCTTACCTGGCGGAGTGACCAACTTGAAGTTTGACGCTTGGGGAAAAAACATGATAGATTTGGGGCCATAAACTTGAAACTTGATAGAGTTTGATGGTTAGGAAAGTGGATGAAATATGTGTGCTTGAGGCTTTTTTAAGGATGTAATGCCTGGTTGAGTTAAAAACTGACACTAAGAAAAGGTTGATGAATGATACCTGTTGGCAATCTACGAATGCCAGATTTGAACCTTGATTGTTCTTTAGCATCACACAATGCATTTGTTTAACATCATACCGCCACCATTAGTACGTTGTTCCCCCTTGGAAGTATAGTACAAATCTACCAACATCAACTGCTATCATCAGGTTGCACCGACATTAGGAGCAAGCTCTCTGTGCCCCAATCTGCTGTAACCATGATTCGGTACGAAGAGTTGATTGCATCATGTTACCCTTACGCATCAATTCTCACGACCTACCCATGACAACCTATGACTTGCCACCCAGTGTCGGATGGTAGTCATCTGTGGTACACAAAAAATGGAGTCACAATTTCCTCATATTTCCTGATGACCCCTTCATAAATGTCATAAAACCCTTCCTGCAACCCAACTCAATGGATTGATTTGAGAAAAAACAGACAGGAAAGTATGTTGTTTTGCACAAACAGTTTGGGGTTTCCTCTAGATTTTCTCAACAAAATCTGGGACCCCCAATTTTCAACCAGGTGACGCCCCTCACTATCACGAAGACTGGCGCCCCTTGCGACCCGGCGCAGGGCCACAGCGCCAACAGCGGCAAGCCGGGCAGTGGCAGTCCTGGGGGATGCTGAAGGTTGAAACTGCTTGTCTTGCTGGGTTGCTGTTAGTGATTAACATCAACGGATTTTTTCCTTTTTCATGAGTATGAATTATTGTTAAACATGTTTAATCATTAACAGTCAATGATTACTAATTAACAGTCAATGATTGTTCATCATATTAACAGTTAATGATAATGTGAATGACTATTAATCATCATTAATGATCTTGGGCAGTCATAGGTCTTTGGACAATTTAAGTGTCAGTCCCTAACCAGCATTTCTGTCTTCCCAAACAACATTGGCTTCACATCGGCTTCCCCTGGTCTTGAGATGAACACATTGCTAGCCTTTGAGATCGATCATGAACAGATTGGGCATCGCTATGTATAGTGGGTGAATATATATATATAAATAAATAAATATATATATAATTATATAGATCTCTATTGATGAAGATGGGTCCAATACGGATTGATCCCGTATAATCAATCCCCCAACGATTAAATAGTATCATTCTGGATCACATTGATGATTTACATGAAAATTATATATGATCATTATATATTCATATATATATACGAATATATAAATAATAAAACATATATAATTATATGTATATAATACTATAACTATTAATGAATATGAATGATTTATAATTAGCCATATTATGGCCATCTTATGGATTGATGATCATCCCTCAAATTCAACTGGCTCATGTCCCGAGCTCCTGGACATCGATCGACCCATGGGATGCCTGGGATGAAGCTGGAGCGCCCAGCGTGGGATTTATATACTGTAGTGATTTATGATGATTTATGTCATTCATGATCATTGTTGATTGATTTATATTGATTTATATTGATTTATATTGATTTATATTAAGATTCGAATGTAAATCATGGGTCTTGATTATCTTGATCTCAAAAAGAGTGTGACAACTCTTGCGTCACTTTGAGGCTCTACGCAGCAACGCTGATCGTATCATTTGGCGGAAGAAACATAAAGGTCATTCTTGTTCAACAAGGATGATCATAATCTGGTTGGTGGTATACCTACCCCTCTGAAACATATGAGTTCGTCAGTTGGGATTATGACATTCCCAAGATGATGGAAAGTCATAATCCAGTCATGTTCCAGTCACCACCAACCAGTGGCAACAACGATCCAGTATGTTCCAACCATAGCTGGGTAGCCTTTAAAGAAAACGCCACAACTTTTACTGGTCACTTCTTTCAAGCTCCAAACACACTGGTGGATCTTAGGTGGACAATTCATTGGGAAAACACAAAAAACTCATACTCTCTACCAGTATAGCGACTCAAAATCACACAACAAATAGCATATCCAACAAAATCCAACACACTTCTAACAAGAATCACTATCGTTATACTCCCCATTGAACCCCCACTACTCCCAGTAACTCCCCCATGAAACCCTTATTGAATCCCAATCAACATGTCAGATGTCAGCTAACTCATCTCTTCCATCACCTCCAACCCACAACCCCGGTACAACCCCGGTTCGAAAGACCTCAGAGGTTTTGGCGATGCCCGGGTCGTGAGTCCTCGGCGTTCTTGGGGATGCCCGACTTTTGACCACATGGAGACAGCTTTGCCTTATTGAATAAAGACAATGATAGACACGTATCGAGTAGAGAACCATCTCTTAGTTGTTGTCTCTGCATGTTACAGTTTCTCTCAGCCTGCCGCACTAATTGGATGACAAGGCTCTTTGGGGCAGTGCCTGTCAACGCTGAACGTGTGCAATCTGGGTGAGAAAGCTACAACCGTTTGGGCACCGCAGATCATCTCCCCTAAAACAAATTTGGGAATGGATTCATCTGCTCCACTCAGGAAAAAATAGATAAACATTATAAACATAAACATTATAAACATAAACATTATACTATAAATTGTGCTATGCTGACTGGATGATCTCACATCCTGAATTGGCAAAGAATATACATCACTCATTTCAAGACAACGACCGACCGCCATGATCTGTGCCTTGGGAAGTACCATGGAGCGCACAGCATAGATGCTGCTGTCCATGGCTCGCTGCCCAGGGTCAAGTCTTTAGCGCGGGCGTGCTACATGAAGAGGGCGGTACACCCACAAAAATTGCAAACTGGGGAAATATCATGATCAACCATGGGATTTTTAGGTACTCCCCCATGTTTTGGGGTAAACTCAATTCTTTCTGTTTCAATCCGGAGGACTCCCAATGATCCTCGTGAATCCTTTGGTGGTACTGGTACCATCCATCCATCATCTTGAGTCTGACCAATTTTGTCAATCAACCTGTTTTGTGTTTACTTGAGATTTAGTCAGTACTGGTCGCATGACAATGGCATGAGTATACCTCCAAAGAAACATCAAGAACCTGATGCCATTCGCAGAACAAGTTAGGATTTCAACAATCAAAGGCTAGGATGGCCCTCAATAATCATCAACCAACCATCATGTCCCACTGGTTTTCGCAGTTCAAAACTGATAAAAACCAATTTTTTGGTTGGGTTCCAGCCATCCCTGCCCAGCTTCAGGGCAGCCTCCGGGCTGCTTTCCGGCCTCAAAAGAAGTTCCAAAATCACTAATCTATAGTCTATAGTCAATATCTGGTTTTGTTTTAATTGGTTTTTCAACTGGTTTTTAGGTTTTTAACTGGTTTTTCACTGGTTATAGCTAATATCTGGTTTTTTCACTGGTTTTTATGGTAGACATTTCTATAGTGAATGTAGATGAAGCCTAGCCCGTTCATGTTAAACACCTCCTCGAAACCATGGTGGATGTAGGGGATGTGATTGGGACCTTAGAATGGAGGCATTTAATATGAACGGGGAACGGGATTAAAACCCGTAGCATGCGGATGCTGGCTGGTCCATGCCACATGACCTGTGGCTGTGTGGCTTCTCTGACCTCCCAAATCAGTTTCTGTGAAACGTCATTTTTTTTACGGAACTCTCAAGCCCAGTCATGACCTGAAATGACCAGGATTCTTCAGTTTCCCCAGTTCCAGCTCCAACATCGTTACACCAATCAGAAGGTGAAACGGCCATCCTCAGCCATCAGTATTTTCATGGAAGGAGGGGGCAATCCATCAATCAATTTGGTAATTGGTAACCAATGGAACGTACATTGCGGTAAACCCAATGCCATCAACCTCTTTAACCCTTGGAATGGTTTGTGCAACCTATTTCTGGTAAACAGTGATTAGAGATGATTTACAGTTCATCCACAATCTTTAGGGATATCTCGTTGCTATTGTTATGGTTGTCGTGTTTGATATCATTGTCATCATTGATGTTTCATCTTTATGATTATTCGTACTATTGTAATAATTGCTTATTACTACTATCAGTATGATCATTATTTCATCAATTATCGTTACCTGCCAGCAGTCACAAGCATTACTAATATAGTAACCTGCAAAAACATAGACAAACATGTTTTGTAGGATGCTACATGTCTATCATTTTGTGGATTACCATTGCTACTTCTTGCGGATAGTAGCTTGTACGATGGTAATCTAGGTCTTACGTGGTCTTACTATATTTGTCACTGGGAGAGTAATAGTAATTACACGTTAATTATATATATATATACATATGAAGGTGTAATTGATTACATGATTACATATACTACATATATATATATATATATATCACTTATAACTTATATCTATGATGCGTTGTAGATTGCTTGGCTCCACCACACCTCCAGGTCAACGTCTCCCCTATACGTCGAGTCACCGTAATTTCTCCAAGGAGGCCGCCGATGTCGCCGATGTCGCCGTTGCCTTGGAGCTGTGGACATTGGAGGCTAACCACTTTTGAACAGTCAACTAATAATAGTGACCATTTGTATGATTATGACTGATAATAGTGACTTTTGATTATCATAAACTAATAATAGTTAGTAACTGATCACTTTACTATTATGATCAACTAATATCATAAACAGTCAACTAGTTGATATATCACCATCATGAAATATCACTTTTGACTTTTGATCATAAACTATAATGATGGTGATATATCAACTAGTGATAGTGATATAATGATAATATAGTGAAATTGTTTTTGGTGAAAATAATGATGATGATATAATGATATTACATCAACTATGAAATTATTATCATCACTATTGTCATCAAATATAATGATATAATAGTAATGGTAATAGTGATGATAATAGTGATGAAAATGGTGATAATGGTCAACTTTTCAATAGTGATAACAGTGATGATCGTGACAATAGTGATGATAGTGGTAGTGATGATACTAATGATAGTGATGATGCCACGTTCATGATAGTGATTGTAGTTTCTGAACCATCAATCACATTATCATATTGACATTACATGATATTACTATCACTGTAGCTGTGATAACTGTATAGTATCACAATAGTTATCGTTGTATGGCTATAATCATTAATCAATGTCAGCTTCTCAAATTTCAACCTTCCAAAAACTTGAAGATGGTTCTGGAATGGGCATGTGCACGCATTTGAAGGAAAAACACATAGAAAATACCGTGGAAGATCCATGGTATGTGTTCGAATATCATTTGCCCCACGAGAATTTAGCCATGGATTCCCGTTGACAAGTGAAGCTAGGTTTTGGTTCCCTGGCACTTTACAGACATCATCAGGCTTTAAGCTTTGACTCAAAGCCGAAGATGAGTGTCCTGCACTGGCCGAGTGACACCTCCTATCCGCCATACCATTTACCATTCTTTACCCCAAAATGCATGTTCAATGAGAGGTACCCCTTATCATTCAATCAACTAACGCTGGTTATCTGATCGTCAATAATTGGATATAACTGCCGCTTAGTTGGGAATATCACCAATAGTTGATACAGTTGTGTACTCCCATGATGATATCCCAATAAAATCCCCATCTAATTGCTGCTGAGTTGTACCCCCAACACGATCCACAATAAACCAAAATCCTCAATAGAATTCCTTTGATCGTAAGCAATCATTGCTAATTCCATTCTAACTATTTTAAAAGTGGATAATCTCGTTTATTGAGTTCAGCCAGCCGCAACGATTTTTACAGATAATTATATATGAGGTAATCTTAATGTTGGATATTATATATATATATCTACATATATATATATATATATTATGCTGAATTGTATGCATACCCATTACAATTATATTGTTGGTTATATGACTGACTATTGTTGTTAAATATACATCTTACTACATTAATATTATCATTAATATCATCATAATGGTCATGGTTACTTTTATTTTAGATCATTGTTGTTACGATATACCCCATATTAATTACCCCAGCTAAGCACCGGGCAACAGCGGCCACGGCACGAGACGGAGCCGGAGGTACCTGCCCATGGATCAAGCAGACTCAACCAGTCATGAAGCCAGGGCCAAAGCTTCAAAGTTCAGGTTTCACTCTCTCTCTATACATGTATATATATATATATAATGTATGTGTCCTCATATAAGTATATATCATTCGTAAAATAGATGTCTAATATATAGTACTATATAATACTATATATATATAAGCATCAAACGGTTGTAAAATAACATAAGATAAAATAAAATAGCATTGTGTATAGCATATAACTATACATGTAAATATTGTATAATTTTAATCCAAAGATCATGTGCCCCAGAAGTAGAGGTAGGGGCACAAAAATCACTGTTTATCAGCATCATCACCATCGAAACTGCCATTTTGGGGTATCCGCCATTTTTGGACACACCCATGTATAGCTTGTGTACCTCTTACAATCATCAGCTGATGTTGGTCTCGCACTGATGTAATGGTATACGCTATACCCCAGTCTCTGGACATGGTAACGGAAACAAACCCCTTTGTGGCACGAGCATCATGGTGTGAACAAGCCTGGAGACAAAAACTTCATCCGCTCCACCATACCTGTATGATCCTATATGATTAAACAAACAAACTACTTTCTTGGAGTGATCCCCACTCTGACACACTATTCTCACGTTGTTTCTGACATACCATCTGGAAGTCCATATGGACACCATATATATATAATAAATATATATATATATATATGGCATAGATATATTCTAACATTCTACCTGACATTCTGTCCGGCATACGCTCTGACATTCTATCTAGCATCTTTTCAGGCATTCATTCTGGCATTCTCTCTGGCACGTGTTCGGGCCCAGGCGTGGCCCACAGTGCATGAAGAAGAGACTGAAGGAGTGGGCGAGTGAAGGAAGGCAGGTGGGGACTACAGGGATCATGATGTCATAATATGATGTCTACCATCTACATATCTACATACCGTGGAATACATACCGTGGAACATATATAGATCATCTAATCCCTTCCCCCCACCTCCTCTAATATGAAACACTCCCAGAAACATCGTCTAGTAGGGGCTGTTCACCTTTTTGGGACCATTGAATGGGGGTGTTTTTTCTTTTTTTCCGGGGGATGGGATGTTCCATTCTAATCTCACTATGTTCCATTAGATTCCATTAAGTCACTATTGGAATTCCATTAAATAACGATGTTTAATTCTATTCAATATGAACCGGGGATGTGATTATAAACCATGGTTCCATATGGTTCCATAACATCTATATTCCTCCCATCCCAGCCTCCCACCAGGCTGTGCCAGTGGGACGCTCACCTTGGGTTGCCAGATGGATTTTAGATGTTTTTCAGTTTTTACAGGGAAAAAAACATCAAAAAAACATGTTGACACGTGTTTTTTTGACATGTTTTTCCATGTTTTTTCATCCAGTTCTGGGACCTGATGGACTTCGCCATGGGGTCACCGGGACCGTCCGAAGAGCTTTGCTTGGCTGCCACAGCTGGGGATCAAACTCAATGGTCCATCAGCAGCCGCCTGGATCTCAATTTTTTTTTCAACATACCGAAACAGCCAAAAAGTCGGAAAAGAAACATCATGTAGCCGAAACAGCCTAACTAGAACAAGGGGAGTCCATTTTGTTTTAAATATCAAGTGTGAAACATCGACATCTTCAAAGCCATGTCTCGCGCCCAGTGATCCAAGATGACCTCTACTGGTCATCAATCCGTGAGGATTTGGGGGACTCTGAAACTGTCAACTGGTGAAGTATAGAGAAATCAACAGCAAACTAGAACTGAAGCACTATCGGCATCGACTTTTCTCTTCAGAAATCATTGGGGAAATGAGTTCTTAAATGAGCAGAAATCAACATCAACTGAGTCAACTGCCAGTCCAAAACCTCCTGGGAAGTCAACCAGTAGCTGCAGGATATCTTCCCCAACAACTTGGGCCGCCACATTGGGAGGCTGGTGGGGCCTTGCTACAAGCTGACCCTGCTCAAGAATCCTTGAAAGGGTACATGGAAAAGAACCGGATGATTAAACATGGAAAACCCATGGATTGATGACTCCATCTGCTTTAATATGTTTAATGTAGGATTGCCAGCGAAAACTGGGCTGTTCCGTTCTTATGGTTTCACAACTCGTTGGCCATGGCGATGGGGGTGATCCGGGGAAGGCGGGGAAGTCCAATGTTGTTCAGATTCATGACAAGGATGGCTACATGATGAGCTTATCTATGATTATCTGATGCACAAGCTTTCAAATCACCTTTCATCAAGTGTATGTTCATGTATATATATATATAATGATAATATATAATCTATAAGAACCAAAGCCAACTTACGATCCATTTTGAATCCATCTTCATCCATCAGTCAGTCAACTTGATTGAAAGAATTACGTGGTTGAAGATCTTCCAAGCATAGCTCTTTCCACATGCCTTGCATACCACCTCCACCTCCACGGCAGCTTTTGAGATCCCAGGCAACTCGAAGTCGTGCAGGGACGCGCCCTGCAGTATGCTGCACATCAAGGTGCTTTCAAATGTGGTGTGATGGGGAAATCGAGTGCAGGTAAACTCAACCATGTTCAAAGCAAGTTTGAGAGAAATCTGAGAGGTCCAAGTCTAGCAGCTGCGATGCAGCGATGCCATCGATGCCAATGACTAGCAGCTGATTGTGGCAGTGCCATCCCTGATCAAAGCTACAGCATTTCGATAGAAATCAGCTGCAAACAGCCAGGCGGCCCCACCGAAGGGTCATGGGAAAGATGGCCCAAGGAGGAAAGTACCGAGAGGGAGGTCAAGGAACGATCCTGCGGTGCTCCCCCATAATCCAGATGTACTGGATAAGCCGTAATTATAGAGCAATGAATAGATGCCGTTAAAGGATTTTGAGATGTTTTCGGATCTATGAACCAGGCAACTCTATTTCAGTGATGACTGAGAATGTGGCGGGTGCTAAAGCGATGTTCAGATACTCACAATCAGATTCTCGATAATTGCGAAGTCTCCCTACATGATTCCTATGGATTCTTGCAAGTCAGTGTGCCCAGAAAAATTGGCTCGTTTTACTCTTGGGTTAATTGTGGTTGATGAGTCATTTGACTTTGAGGGACTTGTTTTTTCTCAAAAAAAACGTCGTGGTTTTCTTGTCAGCTCACGACAACTGCTGTCCATCTCAAAGCCTAACAAGGTCGGAGAGCTGTAGACCTCAGCTGTCAACGAAATAGAACGGCTGGCCGTGAAAATACTCCGTTTTCCCATGAAATACTGGTTGGTTGTATAATACAATAGTTATCCCGATATCCCGTTCATCATGGATCTATGGTGACCTTTATCCGAAATGGTTTGTCCGAAAATCGGTTACTCCATTCCATCCACTGGTTAGTCATCATTTGCTTGATTAAAATGACCATAAACTGGAGGTAAGATAAGCACATTCTTAGGACAGGAACAAATCACAATACTGTCGGTGATATACATACAGCAATAATAGTAAATTTATATCCAACGATATGCCAGCCATTAAACCCCAAAACATATGTCCAATTTATATTCCCAAACAATATATATATAATATTATAATATATATATGCCCTACTACATCCTATTATATCCTATTAAATCTTTAGAGAACCCGCGCGCGCGTCCCAGTGCTCCTTAGGACTGCACCGAGCTGGAAATGGCTGAGTGTCGAAGCCTGGCCAGAATCTGGCTGGGTCACCCATGGGATGTGACCCCCCAAAAAAACATCGGACACCACAAAAGAACACACAACAAAACGTTGGAAAAAATGCAGTTTTCCCTGTTTTTTCCTTGTTCAGAAATGCCAGTGTTTTGATCAAACTGGCTTCAAGATTTTGTGATTCTGATCTAACTTTTGCGGTTTTTACCAGGTTTGAGTTTTGAATATGTTTGAATCATCTGCATTTTCAGACCACAAATACAATTACTTCCGTTTTAGTATAAAACAATAAAACCATTTTGGGGGGAGGTCAATCATCTAGTAAACATGTGCAAAGAACCACGGAACCTCTGGAAGTCCTTCTGGCCGAATGACAACAGGTGTGGAAACGTTAATATAGCTCCATCCGCAGGAGACTCTAAAAATATCTTGAAGACACCAAGACAGGATCCATTTCTAGGATATTCCGAATTTATCCAAATCGGTTGAAGACTCAAATCATCTCAAAACTTCAGTCTTTTCTGGGTACACTGAGCACACTGCAGATCTTTGTGAACGAATGCTCGATGGGTGAAGGTGGGGCCCAAAATTTCCTCAGGCCCCAGCAACTGCAGGGAATCTGCTAAGCGATCTCGAACGAAATCAATGCCCTGGGCAGAACGTTGCGCTGGGCCCTGTTTTGGTCGGGACTCCCCAACTAAATACTTTTTTGCATTGTGTGGAGTTGGATGGAGTTGGCGCCATTCACAATATATAACAGGGGGTGATGAATGTGATGAACTTAAAGTTCTTGTAAGTTATGAACTTATCATGAGATGAACAAGGAACACAAATTTAACATACAAACATCCAGTACGATACCTGTTTAATTACAGTGTAAGCACAGCGCAAAGATACAATGTATAATATAGTATAATATATATATAGATATATATCATAAGATGATCTTGCACACGAGGCGAGACTGCAAGTGTGCCTCGCTGTAGTCCGTAGCATAGTGCTGTTGCATCTTTAGCAAACACAAGACCACCTGGGCTACTGTAGCGGCTACATGCAACAAGAGTTCCAACAGCAGTGGTAGCGTATGTGAAGATGCTTCTGAAGTGAATCACTTCACATGCAACTTTATGTACATATACGAATTCAGAGTTTCTTGTAGCAACTTTTGAATCAAACTCTTCCCAAACTTGACTCCTGTTTCGCATCAAATGACTCTATTCCATCAGTCTGGGTAAGTTACAATAATTCACTAACCTGAAATACGGTTCTATTGGGATAATTCATTCCCCTTACTAACCATCATTCCATCAGTCCTGAGCACCAAACTCGAGGAGCGAATTCCGGAAATTTGGTGCCTGCCCCAGCATTGTCACCAGAACACTTTAGGCTCTCTTGCCGCTGAAACAAACAATGTTTTGACAGTTGTAAGCCTCACGCACACTTGGTCAATGGCACCTATAGCATCCTATAACCCAACAAGGTAATCTCCTACAACAGTATTTTTTTAATGTATTTTTGTTTCAAGACGCTCAATCTACTTTAATTCCATAAATTCATCTTTCAAAACCCCCCTTTTCCGGTGGCTTGAACCGCGCCTAGCTTCGTCAGTGAGGCGATGATCACGGCCACGAAACGCGGGGAGAACACCGCCTCAGCCGTGCCCGGTGCCCCAGGATGGGAACCATCCCCAGGGTATCTGGCTGAAAACTTGTGGGCATTTAATGGGGATAGTTACTGTAACCCCTAATCATGTCTAGGGAACATATCTATCGAGATTTGGGGATAGTTGATGATAGATGGACATATCGATATGTGTATAAATAATTATATATATTTATGTATGAAAGTTAGTCTAAATTCTCTTCTCTGCAAACGGCCATTCTTCGCGGATAAAAACAAGAGATATATATATATACACCTTTCGCGACTCCTACGTTTTTCCAACAGGCAAGTCCCGAGGCTCACGCCTCGCCAGCACATTCCACTTGCGCAATGACCTCTTCAGTGATGGTCGTAGACACCGAGAACCAGACATGCAACCAGCAACGTCATTACGATGACGTATAGTACTTATGATAACCAGTCATCATGATTATACCTGTGATAGTACTTAATATATTATTATTAAAAAAAACACATATTGTGATATATTAAATATTGTGTCTATTTGGTGCTATTTGTATCTGGGTTATTGTTATCAGAGTGACCTTGTCTCACTGAACAATCATCACAACCACCATGAAAACACATGCAAATCAATTTGGTAATTAATCATGAACAATCATCACAACCACCACCAGCATCATCATCATCATCATCATCACCACCATCACCATCACCATCACCATCACCATCACCATCACCATCATCATCATCATCATCATCACCATCACCATCACCATCACCATCACCATCACCGTCACCGTCACCGTCACCATCACCATCACCATCATCATCATCATCATCATCATCATCATCATTCTCATTCTCATCCTCATTGCCATCGTCAGCGTCATCCGTTTTCTCCTCATCCTCATCATCATCATTTAACACGTTTCGAATGTCCGACACATTTTGACATATTAGGCGCCCGATGCCGCCTTGGCCGCATCTTTGGAGGCATCCGTATCATCGCCTTCCCAAAGGATGAAAGATGTGGTGGTTGATAAGGTTGGTTGTTGTATGTTGTTGTACATTACATCTGGATATTAGTGAAGAATCAGCAACTACGGTGTTTTTGGGGACTTCAGTGGAGAAATGCTTTGAACATCTTGCAAAAGCAACTCGTCTGAGATGGCAAATGTGCCTCGTCCTCCCGCGACACTGACAGACTCCTGCGCAGCAAATGCTGCCTTAAAGGGCTGCGGGTTTTCCAGGTTTCCTGCAGATTTTGCTTTGTTTTTTTGTCTCTTTGGAACAGCGCATGCTCCATGCTCTTCATGTGACACGTTTTCGTCTCACAAACTTCAAGCCCCGTGGCGGAGTCCTCATCGTGGGATTTACCTCATCCGTGGGATGTCAACAGGTCGTTCATCACAGTTCTGTCTTGGGCTGACAGTCCAGCAAACTCTTCCAACATGGCATGGTTGACTTGTGCTCTGAATTTTGCAGCTAGTCTTCTCATCTTTTCTCCATTCTAGAAATAAGGTGAAATAAGATGAAATAAGTACACTAAGTCCACAGTATGCAGATGTAGGATGATGTAGGCTGGTCCTTGGGGCTGTTCTTTCTCCCAACTGCTTGGCGTAGGACAATTGAACCATGTGGCTGGACTGGAGTACCATTAAAGCTTGTAAATCGGCAGGCAACAAATGACCCCAGATGCCAACCATTAAAGCTTGTAAAAATGGTTTGCAATGGGGTCATGTAACAACCATTATCTACCAACCAATAGCCATTCTATATTTGTAGATTATGTTTCCAGGCAAAAGGAGGGAACATCTATTTTTACTGGAGAGTATGCAGTATGTATGAAAATACAGTACTGTATATAGTGTACCCCTAAACCCACTGGTGCACCATCAATTTGCCGCATAAAAAAATGCAAAACCCAACATAACACACGTGGCAATGGACAGTCTCCCATTTATAGTATTTTCATGTATTCTCTTCCATTCAAACCTCCAATTATATCCAGTTGCCACATTTGATTACCAGAGGATAACTATGGATCCCAATTTTCCGGAGATTTCCCAGCCATCCAAGAGACCCTCAGCAGCCGCTTTTCCATCAGAGCCTGCCCCAGCTGACAGTGGACGGGCACGGAGCATTCACAAAACGGGCCGGCAAGACGAACTTCAAACAGGCGTGGGTCAAGGGCTGGAACTGTTGGGTGCTTCAACATCCAAAAATGTGTTTCTTCTACATGTGAAAGTTACGGTAATATCACCTTCACCCAAAAATTGGTTCAAACATTGAAAATATTGAAGCTATCTAACTTCCAAGCGCATGAGCTTTCTGGAATATCCCCAAAATGGATCGAATCCTGTTGATGGTCACCCCTCTGTAGGATGATCCACAAAATGACCGGTGGCCCCCAAGTCGGAAACGGGGTCAAACGTGGCGCAGGTCAAACAGGCCGGAACCCTTTTCTTTGACGGTCTTTTCCTGCCAACTTGGCGGTCATGAGTTTCACCATGAAATCAGGATGCTCTGCAAGAATCTGCAAGAGATGTCACTGGAATCGGTGGGATTTCAACATGCCTTTGAGGGTGTGTTGGCCGTGTCAACAATTCATGCCAATCAACTTCAATGCCAGTTTTTGGTTCTCCCGTTGGACTGCATCAACTAGAAACACAAGATTGATATCCGAGATCGATACGAAATCAAACCTAAACTCATTGAGGCATCATGCATACAAACATCATCAATCACTTTTTTGGCGCCTGGATGACAACACAAATCACCTCTGCATCTTTTGGAGACTTTCGGCTGCCTTTCTCACTTTACATGGCGCCAAAAATCCGACGACCACGGCACGACTTGAATAGAAATACCTACCAGTGCTGGCGCACGACTCACATCTCAATGAACTTCAAAGAAGATCAATATTTAACCCAGACCGGACGTGGCAAGTGACCCAAAACATTAAAACACACAAACTAAAACAAGCCAGAGTTGGGGCATTCTGAAGCTAAAAGTCTGCGGACATGCACGTGCTCTTTGACATCGATTGGTGCTTGAACAACAGTTTCAACCAATCCTCAAAATATATGTACGTCAAATCATTGTCCAAGCCAGTTATAATCGGATCTATGTTTAGGTATTGCGAATATGTCCGTTCATTGGTTTTCACATCATAAATGTTCTTTAGATCTTTCTGGGTCAAGCTCCATCCATGCCTAAAACATAGGCCCACTCTTGAGGTCTTTTTGCATCTCAATCAACCAAAATTATATCTATATATATGAGAGATAATTTTCCCAAATTCAATAAACCCCAAACCTGACGGGTTTCCAGATGGTTGACCGCAAATCTATGTGGAATCTTCTTTTTCGATCTTTTTTTGATGTTCACCCAACAGCTGCATCTTTTCATGAATCGATCGTCTCTAAGTGCCAAATTTCAGGCGACTTGTCTCGTGGATGGTAAGCCTCGGCATATGGCATGGTCTCTGTGGCAAGCAAAATATGTGACCTATGGTCATATGGGCATGGATAAGACTTGGGTATCCCAAAAAGGGATGGTGTTGCAAAAAAGAATGAGAAACATCTGTGGCCCTCGGGTCTCAACATTTGACCCATGCCTATATGTGTCACAAAAATCATGGCTCGCATCAATAGGCTAGCTATTATTGTTAATATGTCTTCTCTATTTTTCAGGAGTGTTTTGTCTGTGAAACGTCCATAGCTTATACATATATATACCTTCAGCTTCAGCCTCCTGCTTTTTTTTGGTCGTGGCAAAAAAAAACAGGTTTTCTCAGAAAAACCAGGTTTCCTGGAAATCAATAAAAATCACTTCGCAAACAAATCGCCATGATATGTGAAAAATGCACATCACATGTTCCTTCTTCCCTTTCACCCATTGATCTCTCTCTTTTTCCTTCCTCGCGCTTCTAAGCGATGATCTTTGCGTCAAACCATACCTTGTAAGATGCCATGAGGTAACGCTGAAGAGTTCTTTGAATCACCATTCTCACATTCACCCGCCTGCTTGTTCGACTCACCTTGCCCACTATGTCCTCGTCTTGTTGACATGATGCGGTCAGTGGATTCATAGCATATCCCACAGAGTCCCCATCTTGGGAGATCAGCAGCCAGACATGATGTACTGCATGTAGTTTCGGATACAGCGGATAGAGGTGGTACTTGTTCTGCCTGAAGCAGTCACGAGCAAGCGCGGAGTAGGCTTGGAGAAAGTTCATTCCCCTATTGTACACAAACTTGCATTCTTCATGCTCCAGCCACAAGGGTGCATTGTACAAGAAGCTCAAGGCAGCATTCAAGTCCCTGGCCCCCTCCCTGGCTCGATGGAGTAGGCCCTGTGAACGCAGATCCGTGAGAAGAGGCGCCATCCACTTCATGAGGTTTCGAGTCACAGATCCTTTGCTCCAATTTCCAGTTGCACCTGTAGCATCGTTGTAAGAAATTAAATATGCACTAATCTTGGAGACGTGGCACGAAGTCCTTTCTGACCTGCACCATGCAATGTAGTGTTCACTCAGCCATGCAAAACGCTCGTCGTTGTTGTTGCCCGGGACCACAGGCAAAGCAAGTTGCAAAGTTGATGCAATGTAGGATTTCCCCACACCAAGGTGAATACAATGCCATAAATCTGGTTTGAAATAAGACCCACGATCATTTCTATCATATGGCAAAAACCTCAAAGGTGCTGGCAGCTGGTCGAAGGGGTCCCGCACTGCGATAGTGTCTCTCCAAGCAGGGTCATGGGATGTATCCTCGCAAGGAAAACTGTTGGTGCCTGCCAAGCACAAGTGACACACACCAGGCGGTGCCTTACGCGCTGTTCCTCGCTTAACAGTTGTATTCCAGCTTCTTTTGAGTCTTCCGCACTTTTGAAGGTAAGGCATGTCACCTTTGACTCCTAAGAGGCATACGCGGTAGGTGATTCCAGTGGCGCGGTCAAGGATCCCGTTCTTCAAAATATCACTCAGCTCTTTACTCAGTTCCTCCATCATATCATGAAAAACTTCCGGGTCAGAAGCGTAGAAACTTTTTGGCATCACACTCACCACAAACCTAGTAGTGTATGTGTGGCCTGCGAAGTTGATTTCCAGGGACCTTTCATGTCTAGGCCTCTTCAAGCGCTTTTTGTCAAACCCCCAACCAAGAATGCTTTGCAGCGATGTTACCATGAGGGCTGACTTCTTGAGGGTTCGTCCCTCATCCCCATGCAAATACATACCAATCGTTGTAGCAGGGTCGAAACTGGGATCCTCAAACAAACTGAAAGTAGGATGCAGCTGCTCATATTTTTTCCAGAAATCTTTCCAAGTGGATCCTACATGGCATCCCTCATCACACCGTAGTCCAGATAGCATGTACAGCAACCCGTTGTTGACTAAGTACTCAAACCAGGATTTTGGACTGATCCATGGAACTGTTTTTCCACGAATTGCCAATTCAGTGATGGGAAGTTTGAGCCGTGTTCCCTGTTTGTCCACAATTGATTGAACATCTCGTTCACTATTTTTGTAGTCTACTTTTGCCCAATCGTTGATCCCAGAACGGTGGGCTTGTCCCTCACCCATCTCGGATACCACAGCCCTTGCAGTCTCGATTTGCGACGTGCATGAGGCCTTAGCAAGCCGACATAGGATGAACAGCATCAATCAATGGGGTCAAGGTTTGCAGAAAACAAAGGGAAACCATATCAATGTTCCAGAGATAAAGATTGGAGAAAACCATTCCAGTATCAAAATCATTGTATCTCTCAAGATCTGAAGTCACAGTGCCGTACACTCAGAAAACACGAGTCCCAAGCTATCAAGGAACATTTTTTCCACCGTTTGAATTTCGAAATGCCATTGCAAGGCATGCAGCACGCTTTACAGAAAAGCGCAAGCAAATCAGCCATATCTTCTCTACCATTTAATTAGATCTCCACAAGATCAAACAGAGACCACACAAATATATCATCCATTCAAGGCTTAGTCCATGTAGAACATGGAGGTCGAATTGGAGGAGGGTGTTTAAAGCTTCGGTAGACCACATAGGTCAAGAAAGGACCATTGTCCTCAAAGCTATTTTCACTGGAGTCGCCGCCGCGTCTAATGTTTTTACAGCCTTGCCAACCTCAGAATGCAAATCTGAGCAAAGGTTCCTAGGGAAAGTTTGAAGACATAAAAGAACAGTACATTCAACTGAAGAATATGTGTCTTCACATTTCCAAGATGTTTCCATGAAGCAATGTGGAATACGTTCGTTGCTTCTGGTGTGCTGCCTTGGCACTGCTGTAGCGCTGGACCATGGATGCTTCCAAGAAGGCAGGACCAAATGGGTTGGAAGCAGCATAGAGGATCAGCATGTGTTCGAACTTCTCTACTCCATATCTGTATCCATAAGGCCGATGAAACCATCTGAAATGAGCGCAATGTGTGATCCCAAATTTGAAGGTCATGGGGCTATGTTTCTTATGCAAAGCTTCAAAAACTGCTGCCCCGTGTTCTAGAACATAGCCAGCTGTAGCGCCAGGCTTTGGTAACTTGAAAGACATGTGGGGCTCCATCTCAATCTTTTCGAAGACTTCTACGGTTCTATCCAAGTTCCGAAGTTCTGGATCTTGGAGGTATGGGGGAACCAAAGCAGTCTGAGACACAGGTGCTGTCGCTGTGCTCAACCCCAAACCTGAAGAACGCACATGCAAAACTGGCATGGGGTCAGTTCTAATTTGTTTTTGTCCTTCGGTGTGTCTCTTGGCCCCATCATCTTCAAGCTGTTGCCAAGGAAATGGACCCAAGGAAGCCTCACCACTGGCAATGTGAAATGATGTGGGTGTTAAATCTTTGAACAACTATATATGACAACCAAATTGCTTACAGAGCATGGTTCAAGTTGTTGAGCCAAAGCACCGAGCGATGACAGGTCAGCAGCTCAGTCAGAAAATCATCGTCGTCATCGCTGCGAGCATGCCCCATGGCAACTTGTGCAATGGATGCAGGGTGGTCAGGGCAGTCACGCTATAATATAAAGTAAATGGCATCTTGTATCAAAAAATATTGATGAAACCCACTGGAAATTGGATCCATTTAGATTGCGTTCATCCAAGAATAGTTAATTGAGAGCAGTGTTGGAATAATATGCTGAACTTCATGCTATGGTATTTTTGGGGATATGTATTCTGCCATGACTTGGTTTGAGGACAAAACCTTGCACACTGCACACTGCACGCTGTGGCAATCCCGTTGGTAGTCTCGCCTGATGTTTTGGTGTCTTGAATGTCCCAAATATGTTTTGGGGTGTCTGAGTCTGAGTAGCCGGACTCCAGAACCAACGTTGGCTGCAAAGACTCTAGCAGTAGGCCCCGGACCTGGCAAAGAGTCTTATGTAATCTCCAGGACATGGACCTCTTGCTACAGATTATTATTTGGTTCTGGTAGGTGGTATCGTGGTGTGTAGAGTTAAGAAACCTCAGCAACGCTTTCAGGTTTTCAAGCATTTTTTCTCCCACTAGTCTTGCCATCATTGCCCATGGAAAGGTTCATGAGACATGGAACCTATGGCCTGTTGCCGACATATCCAAGAAACATCCTGCATATGCTTGACTCACGCGCAGGCAGTGCTTCACGGACATAAAGATGAAAATACGATCTTGAATAAGAAACAACTATTCCCAGATTGTACCTCTTTGTAAGACTTCAAGGGTCTTGATTTTTAGTGTCTCAATTTTCATATTTTTGTGATAAGTTTATTTATTATAAATTGTGGATTGAAAGCACTGGGACTGCGCATGTTTGCAAGAAACAGGCTTCACACCCCAAGAGTAGAGTATCGAGTTGCGTTGAAAAAACACAACTTCCAATCAGCATCACACAGATCCTAGTACGATCAGCATTTCAGCCAATCATTCAACTACGCACGTCGGAAAAAGAATCCGGTTCACTTGTCTTCCTCGTCCTTCTTCTCCTCCTTGGCCTTTGTCTTTTGGAAGTGGCGCTTTGCACTCCTAGGACATGCAGGGAAAAACATAATCCCCAAATTGATGCATTGTGTTGCGCAAAGAGAGGGATTGGATCACAGTTCAGCAATTGGTGGGTTCGTGTGAATATGACCCCATCCCAGGAAAGCTATGCTATGTCGTTCGCCATCAGTCAAGATCAAGATGCCGAATCTTGGACTCGTTCTGCACAATGCGAGTGCACCTGGAAGCCATGCAGTGGTTTAGTGGTAGTGGAACTTATCACTGGGATGTAGCCAAAACAAAAGATTATATTCCTTACTTTCTACAATCACACCGAGTTTTCATACGTGGTCAATGGCAGTTCATTTTGCACCCAAGGCACGTCAAAGTGCAATCCTTCATCATCTTCTCGGATTGCTGAGACCAACTTAGATTTTCAATGTGGCATTTGAGAAACAAGGTACTGTAACATCAGTCTTGAAGGGAAGCTACCCCAGGCGATGGTTGAAGGATAGTTGCAAATTGGAATCAATGTTGAAAGTATGTTGAAGTTTGGGGCTATTCACATGATACCTTAAGCCAAATCACTCTTTGTTGAAGTCCTTGGCCTCTCCCTGTGCCAGCAACTCCGAACACTGGTTGTAGCAGGACTCCAGCGCCACAAGATCACGCTGTAGAGCTTCAATAGACCTTGCACGGTTCAAGCGTTCACGTATACTTATCGAGTTTATGCTAGCATGTTGGTGACAAAACTCGGAACCCAACAAAAACTTGGGAAAAATACCAAGGTTGTTTGGTCTAAGCTTATGGCTTCATGGCCGCTGGATCGGCATAGTTTTTCTGAAGGTCTTGCACTAGGGAGCGGATCTTTGCAGACTTCTGCAAAATGCTTTCGCAGAACTTGGACAAAACCGACTTGGAACGAATTGCCTTCAGGGTACAGAATCTACAACTTCTCCAGTTCAAATGCCATTAGACACCCTTAATTCAAAATGATATCTTTAAGACTGTGTTGTATCTTGTTCCCATAGGTTATGGTTGGCTTAATTGATATAGACCCCATTCTACCAACTTGTTGTGGTAACAATGCCTCAGAAGTCCCCAAAGCTCCAAGACTACTGGAGGCAGCATCACGGGATGCCATAGACGTAATTCGGGATTGGTCAGGCTTCTCAATGGGAGTTTTCTCAGTGTCCTGGTCCGAGGAAGTGTGGGCGATATCGATATATATTTCTGCATCACTGGGTGGCTATATCTACAGAATATGTGGCAGCTTCAAGTGACTTGGCATTAATAAACAAGTTGTGTGAACAGTCGATAACAATTGAACAGTGGATATCCTCTGTCACTTCCTTTCGCTGTTTCTTGTACTCCCGCTCTTGCCCCCTTTCCCCAACTTCGTCTGTGTCCACCCAGTACTCTGGCTCGCCACTGTACTTGCAGTTCCTGCAAAGGAAGAAAAAACAACAACTGCAGGGATGTACCTAGGTGGAATGCCTTCTACACTTACTTTCTGCTTTACCACAGGGCCCCGCCTCACAAGTTCACCTGAGGCATCCTCTTCGCATAGCTTGATTGCACCCTCGATTTTCTTCCTTACATCTCAGTGTGCTAAAACATTTGGTTAATAGACCTAAGGACCAGACCACACCCTTTGATGATACCAATCTATAGCATGTTTAAATCAATTCAAGATTCTGGTTCCACTTCAACTTGGTTTTCATGGTCTCACGCGTGTAGTAGCCACCGAAAATCTTGTGTTTTTTGCTGTCAATCTCGGTGTATGTCTTCTCACAACTCTTGATGAACTTGTCCTGTGAGGTGTGGCACCACATCCCAAGATTGAGAACTATACACAACGAAGCTTGGCGTTGATTCGAAAACATATCATATCTCGATCATATATGATCATGTCACGTGTTTGGGGTCCTTATCGAAGTTGCATTTCTGCAGCTCAAGTGCCAAAGCCATATGGTTACCCTCCTTCCACTTCTTGTGCAACCACTCGGGAACCATCAACCTGTCTCCTGACTTCTTTTCACACAACCTGCGCAGCTTTGCTTTCAAAGCCGCTTTCGCTTTGCTGTCCTGGGCTGCGGAACATGTGGATAGGCACCGTGTGTAGGTTAATCGATAAAACCCCTATGCAGGCTAATTGTCCAGATAAAGATTGTTTAAAATATCAGTCAAGAATCAAGTTTGGTTCCATCATCTTGCGTGACTTCATCTAGGGCTTCATCTAACTCATCATCATCATCTTGTGTTTGATCTGGTTCGGGAACACTGCTTTTCTTGGAACTACCTGCCACCTCAGAAGACACCGGTGCGGGATCAGCTGACTGCGCCAAGAGTTGCATAGCAGTAGACGCGTCAAGTTGGCCGCTCTTGAACATCTCAATCACTCGCTGGCGAACCTGAAGGGCATGTGTGCTCTTGAACACTTGGGGAAGGTGCGTATGGTCGACATAGCATGTGCTAAACCAAAGACACATATATTATATAGTATCAATTATAGAACATATGAATTTACCAAACGTGCAAAACTATTGGGTATTAAAAAAACAATTTCAGCCAATGAACCACTGCGGCATCTTGTGGGGTGGACGGAGCTGACATGGCTGGTGTTGTTGGAGACATACTCTGGTCACTTTTACCACTAGTCAAGCTAAGTGCAACCTGGCTCTCTGTTGCTGGTTGCGTCTCAAGTTCCTCAGCAGGTTCCACTTGCGGCGGCTCTTTAGGACGCGAAGCTTGAGGGCTTGCCTAAGCGCACCACTGACATGAAACACTTTATAACATCCTACCAGTGTTGTAGTTCCATTTCTTTGGGAAGAGATTGATGCAACTTTCTTGACAAGCTGCCACATTCATCAACTCGGCTTTGGCTGCATCCTTGGTGGATGTTTTTTTGTTTCCAGAGTCCATGTGACACCCCAGAAAACTGTTACTGGTTTTTATGATACATCTGGATCCATCCAAGTCTGAGGGCCAGTCAGCTGCCTGAGCTGCTTCCAAATTCGCTAAAGTCGCTTCCAATTCCTGGAATGGACACAAAGTGGAACATGACATGAAACCAAACTGAATAGAAGCTACATGTTGTTGAATATATCCTACAGTTGAAAGTTCACATCTATCCCAACATGCAAAACCATGAGGTGAAAGACAGCTGCATTGTGGGGTTGAATCATTACATTCACCAAAAACACATGTTGTTTCCCGATTGCCCGAATGAGGAACAAGCCGTCCTTGAGCTGGCTCAAGTCGTCTGGCAAATCCAGTGAGTTGGCTTCAAGGAGGTTGGTCAGACCGGCGGTCAATTCATGAGTGCTCCAAGTGCGACTTTTCATTGTTTTGGCTGTATCAGCCCTCAAAAAGGCCATCAAGTGCAATCCCACCTAAACCTGGTTTAGATGGGCTAACCAGATCACAAGTTCAGCCAAATGCTTCATAGTAGAAACTGCAGATTGAACATGCAGTGGAAACATTGTTTATGCTTCAACTGACTTTGCTTTATCCAGCCACCAGATGTCACAGGGAATAGTCAACTGTTTTTTGCCATCCCAAGCTGTGTTTCCCATCAGAGCTTTCTAATTTAGCAACTCGTTGCAACAGCAACGTGCTAAGGTACTTGCCAGCTGCTCATTCCTGGTCTGCATTTCCAACTGCAGCGTTAGCAGTTTTGGAGATTTGCCACTCGGTACCAACATATTCCCAACAAAAACGTAAAAAAGCCTTGAAAAAAAACATAAAATTTAAGATAAAAAAACCTGGTAATTCCCATTTTTACCCATAAAATTTTATGGGTGAATTACGG